TTAATTAAAAAAAAAGAATTTTGAAGCTGGGTATAGTGGTACTTGCCTATAACCCCAAAACTTGAAGCTTCTCCTAATCCGACAAGCCAGGATGGATTGCTGTCCTTCAAGAGTCCCCACAGCAAGGGAAGTACACTGGCAGTTCCAGAGGCACTGGACCAAGTATTCCTTTGTCTATTCCTGTAGAAAAAGAATGGTGGCATTGTGATGGTGACGCTGTCCAAAGCTGGGTATAGTGGTACTTGCCTATAACCCCAAAACTTGAAGCTTCTCCTAATCCGACAAGCCAGGATGGATTGCTGTCCTTCAAGAGTCCCCACAGCAAGGGAAGTACACTGGCAGTTCCAGAGGCACTGGACCAAGTATTCCTTTGTCTATTCCTGTAGAAAAAGAATGGTGGCATTGTGATGGTGACGCTGTCCATGGGGGTGCTGCAGTGCAATCTGTTTGCTAATGTGTCCACTGTGACAGGTAAGTCCCACCTGAGCTGTGTAGCTTTGGCTTAGGCTGTGGCCACCAGGACACTTGGGATAGCTCCAGTAGCCTGGCACATGCTGGGCAATAGCTGTGCTTCCAACCACCCAGGGGCAGTAGACTGAGCTCTTCACAGGTACCCAGACCTGAGTCCACAGTCAGGGCTGATAGGTTTGATGCCTCTGCCTTGGTCTCATTTTTGTTCACAATCCTTGAACCACTTTCATTTTTCACAGCTCTAGGCAGGACAGGCAGAACTTCCTCGAGATTCTCAAGGGACCCAAATAAGGGAAAAATTCTAAACCAGCCTAATCCAGCACTGGTGTTCTGGTTGTTGCCAGGTTCAGACTCATGACAATCCATGAGCTCTGTGGATTAAGATGTCATGGCATGGAGTGCTGTGGGCAGGGTAACGGGCCAGGACTGAGTTTTCTCAGAATAGAGATGATTGCTAACTCTAATACCAACCTCCCGCTTCTAGATCATTTCAACCACATCAGAACAGTCATTGGCTCTGAGTACATTGGGATTGGTGGAAATTATGATGGATCTGGAAGGTAAGTGTTTCCCTTGGGCCCATTTTAGGCTGGAATGCAGAAGTAAGTATTTTGGTCTTAGTTCCCCATCCTTCAGTCTTCAACCACAGCTCTGTTCTTCCAGCCCACCTCACCTCTCCCCACTTCTAGGCCTTGTTTCCTAGGTTCTCACTGTCCTCCTGTGGCCTAGTGGACCTACTCCAGGTTTCCATACTAGCTAAGGGGTTCCTTCAGAGGAACCCAACTCATGCCCCATTTCCAGCCCAGAAGATCTGCTGTAGGCTATTTCCTTAGTTGGGTATAGCTACAGAAACTCAGTCTTCAGTAAGCTTCTAAAGTTGAATTCACTAGTCATATGTGTCTAGCGTTGATGGGACAGCCAGCCCTAGACTAGGATTAGGGCCAAGTTCTCATGTTGGGTGTCTACACAGGTTCCCTGAGGGGCTGAAGGATGTGTCCACATACCCAGTGCTGATAGAGGAATTGATCAGACTGGGCTGGAGTGAACAAGAACTTCAAGGAGTCCTTCGAGGAAACCTGCTACGTGTCTTCAGACAAGTAGAACAGGTACACAGGTTGCAGGGGTATGGATGGTGTCTTAGTTTGTTTCTTCATTGCTGTGACAAAACATTCCGACCACTGCCAACTTGGAGAAGAAAGGGTTTATTCAGCTTACATCTCCTGGGTTGCAGTTGCAGTTCATCAGGGAGCCCAAGGTAGGAACTCAGGGCAGGAACCTGGAAGCAGGAGCTGGAGCACAGGCCATGGAGGAACGCTGCTTACTGGCTTGCTCCCTTGGCCCCTGCTCAGCCTGCTTTCTTATGTAACACAGGCCCACCTGCCCAGGGGTGGCACTACCCATAGTGGGCTGGGCCCTCTCACATCACTCATCAAGAAGATGCCCTTCAGACATGGCCACAGGCCAGTCCAATAGAGGCAATTCCCCGATTGAGGATCCCTCAACCCAGGTGTGTCAAGTTGACACGAAAGCTATCCAGCACAGATGGGTTTTTCAGTTGTTTGAGCATGAGAGGCGGTTACTGTGGGGGTGTCTGACTGTTGATTCCCTCCTTCCAGGTGAGAGACGAAAGCAGTGGGCAGAGTCCTGTGGAGGTCAAGTTTCCAGACAGGCAGCTGAGTAGCACCTGCCACTCCCACCTCCTGCCTCAGCCAGAGGAAAAACACCACAGTACACACCTGAAGGTGACCAAGCCACCAATCAAGCAGATCTTTCGAAAGCACTCAAAAGCCTCTCCATCCCCCATTCCAGGCCTCCTAGCTGCTGTCACCTGCTCAGCCCTCATTCTCTGGTTCTGGTGACCTGGCCAGAGCTCACTGTGACAAAGTTGCACAAAGTCTCCCTCCTAGCTGCCCAGACCCCAGCATATACAGTAGGAATAAATATTTTAAATAGAGCCAAGTGTATATGTCCTTCCTTATAGTCCAAAGTATAGTCAGGTAGGCTTTTGGTTGGTGTAGCCTTGGTCCTTAGGAATGGAAGCAGCTCACCAAATCCTTGAAAGCTGGAGCCCACAGAACAGCATAAAGGAGTGAGATTAGTGCTGGCTTGTTGTGGACTGTGACACTGGGTGAGAACCCAGCCTCTTGGAAAGCTTACATTTTTTGTTTGCTTTAGGGTTTGTTTATTTTGTTTTAGAGGCTTGAGTCTCTCTATGTTGCCCTGGCTGGCTTGGATCTCCTGAGCTCCAATGATCCTCCTGCCTCTGCCATTCAGCTGCTAGAATTCCAGGCATGTGCCATCATGCCTAGCTTTCTGGCTTTCCCCCAGTACATATAAAATCAGTTTTGAGCTGTGTTTGATGGCTAAAGCCTATAAACTCAACACTCAGGAGGTAGAGGTAGGAAGATCATCCACAAAGTCAAGGCCAGCGCTGTTTATATGAGACCCAGGCCAGCCAAAGCTACATAGTGAGACCCTGTCAAAAAAAAGAAGAAGAAAAAGAAAGAAAGAGAGACAGAGAGAAAGAGAGAAAGAAAGAAAGAAAGAAAGAGAAAGAAAGAACACATTAATGAGTCTCCACAGTGAAGTATTCAATTATGAACAAAGAAAAAAAGAAAGGAGGCTGGAGAGATGGCTCAGTGGTTAAGAGCACTGACTGCTTTTGCAGAGGACCCGGGTTCAATTCCCAGCACCCACATGGCGGCTATGAACCATCCTTAACTCCAGTTCCAGGGGAATCTGAAGCCCTCTTCTGACTTCTGCAGCATTGCACGACACGGGTGCACTCACATACATGCAGGCAATACACTCATACACATAAAAAAAAAGAGGGGCTAGAGAGATGGCTCAGCAGTTAAGAACAATGGTTCTTCTTGTAGAAGACCTGGGTTTGAATCCCAGCACCCACATGGCAGCTAACAACTGTCTGTAACTCCAGTTCCTGGGGATCCAACAGCCTCTTCTGTCTTCTTCGGGCATTGCACGACATGGGTGCACTTACCTACATGCAGGCAATACACGCGTACACATAAAAATAATTTTAAAAAAATTTTTTTAGTCTTTTTTGAGACAGGGTCTCCCTGTACCCCAGCTGGCCTGGAACTCACTATGTAGACCAGGCTGGCCTTGAACTCACAGAGATCCACCTGCCTCTGCCTCCCGAGTGCTTGGATTAAAGGTGTGTGCCACCACGCCCAGCAAAAAAAAAAAAAAAAAAAAGCACGAAGATATGCCAGGTATAGTGGCTCACTTTTAGTCTCAGCACTCAGGAGGCAGAGGTAGGTAGATCTCTGTGAGACTGAGGCCAGCCTGGTCTACATATCAAGTTCCAGGTCAGCTGGGGCCACAGGGAGACCCTATCTCAAAGAACAAAACAAAAACCCAAAACCCACAAAGAACAATGCCAGGTATGGTGGCACACACCTTTAATTCCAACACTCAGGAGGCAGAGGCAAGTAGTCTAGCATGCCCTTAAACATCCTCCTGTCTCTGCCTCCTGATTGTTGGAATTGTAGGTAGCCTAATATGCCCTCCTTTTTCTACATTTTTATTTCATTTTCTGGAATTCCTATTAGATGTTAAGATCTCTAATTCTATTCTCTGTATCTTTTTTTTTCTATTCTTTTTTGTTTGATTATTTGAGACAGAGTCTCACTGTGTAACCCTGGCTGGCCTGAAGCTCTCTATGTAGACCAGGCTGACCTGGGACTCACAGAGATCCACCTGCCTCTGCCTCTCAAGTGCTGGGATTAAGGGTACATACCAACGCCAGGTGTGGTGGCACACGCCTTTAATCCCAGCACTTGGGAGGCAGAGGCAGGCAGATCTGTGAGTTCAAGGCCAACCTGGTCTACATAGTGAGTTCAGGTCAGCTGGGACTACAGGGAGACCCTGTCTCAAAAAGACAAAAAAAAAAAAAAAAAAAAAAAGGTGGACACTAGGGACTGGAAGGATGGGTTAGTAGTTAAGAGTGTGTACTGCTCTTCAAGAAGATATGAGTTTAATTCCCAGCAGCCACACCAAGTGGTTTACAACTGCCTGTAACTCCAGTTCCAGATAATCCAACACCTCTGACCTCCATGGGCACCTGCACTCATGTACACACACAGACACCTTGTTTTTTGAGACATCTATCACTGGCCTGGAGCGCACCAATTAGGCTAGGCTGACTGGCCAGCAAGCCCAAAGGATTCTTTTGTCTCTGCCACCCCAGCGCTGGGATTACAAGAACAGCTTTTTACATGGGTGCTGGGGATCCGACTCAGGTCCGCATGCCTATCCAGCATGCATTTTACCAACTGAGCTATCTTCTCAATCCCTCTACATTTCTTTTCTCTTCGTTATTTCATTTGGGAGACCTGTTCAATTTGGTCTTCCAAATTATTAATTCATTCTCAGTTATAACCATTCTGCTATTTGGTCACCATTTACAATACTTATTTCAAATGATTACAATGAATATATGAGTCTGTATTCCTTTCTATGTCTCTTATCCAGAAATGGAGATTTCTGCCTTTTCTCCCTAATCACAACTTTTTTTCTTCCTTCTCTCCCATCCTTCCTCCCTCCATCTTCTTTCTTTCTTCACTTCTTAGTTTTCTGTTGTTGTTGTTGTTTTGAGACAGGGTCTCCCTGTAGCCCCAGCTGTCCTGGAACTCACTATGTAGGCCAGGCTGGCCTTGAACTCACAGAGATCCACCTGCCTCTGCCTCCCGATTCATGGAATTAATGATATGTGCCATCGTGCCCACCTTGCTCCCTGCTTCTTAATGCTTGTATGAAATATAATCATTGACCATTAAGCTGATCAGGGGCTGGAGAGATGGTTCAGTGGTTAAGAGCCCTGACTGTTCTTGCAGCAGACCCAGGTTCAGTTTCCAGCACCCACATGGTGGTTCACAACTGCCTGTAACTCCAGTTCTAGGCAATCTGTCATCTTATTCTGACCTCTGAGCACAACAGGAACACACAGTACACATATATACATGCAGGCAAATATTCATATACATTAAAAAAAGTAAATCTTTTTGGAAAAACTCAACAAACATAGAAACACATGTAGATTTAGAATCCAGTGCTTTTGACCCATAGCCCCAGTTTCTTTTCTAGCCTACAGCCGTTACCAACTTGCTAGTCATATGACTGTCATCTTGGAAGTGTTCCCTCCAAGTTCCCTTAATTTAACTAAGGCTGTGTGGAGGAGAGATGAGCCTTAGTTAGTGTATATAGTATGTAGGTATTGCTTGTTTTGTTTTTGAGACAAGATTCCAAGGTTCCCTTTCCCAGGCTAGCCTTAAACTTGATATGTTGCCAACCTTAAATTCTTGACTCCTGCCTCCACTTCCGAAGGGCTTTGATTATAGACATGCCATACCTGACTTGTAAATATTGTTGTTTTAAGGTACTTTGCTGTGTAGATATATGACTGGAATAATTTTATTTGTCATAGCTTATATTTATGCTTGCTCTTTTATTTTTAACTTAAAAGTATTTTATTATTTTTATTTTATGTGTATAAGTGTATTGCCTGCATGTATGTAACTGCAACACCCAGAGAGGTCAGAAGACAGCATTAGATCCCCTGGAACTAGAGTTAAGGAACTGTTGTTAGCAGCCATGTGGCAGCTAGTGCTCTTAACCACTGCATCATCTCTCTAGCCACATTTTTTAATTAATTAATTAATTTATTATTTATTTATTTAATTTTGGTCTTTTTGAGACAAAGTTTCCCTTTAGCCCTAGCTGACCTGGCCAGGCTGACCTCAGACTCACAGAGATCCGCCTGCCTCTGCCTCCCAAGTGCTGGGACTAAAGTCATGTGCCACCATGCCCAGCATGAAGCAATTTTTTTTTCCCCAGTACTTAGGAGGCAGCAACAGGCAGATCTCTGTGAGTCCAAGGACAGCCTGGTCTACATATTGAGTTCCTGGCTATCTGGGGCTACAGGGAGACCTTGTCTCAAAAAACAAACAAAAAATTTATTTCATATTTGTGTGTGTGTGTGTGTGTGTGTGTGTGTGTACATGTGGGTACTTCCAGAAGTCAGAAGAGGGCATTGGATTACTGCAGCTGGAGTTACAGGCAGTTGTAAGACACCTGATATAGGTGCTAAGAAACAAATTTGGGTCCTTTTCAAGAGCAACAAATACTCTTAACCTCTGAGCCATCTCTCCAGCCCTTAGTTTTTGATTTTTTTGAGACAAGGTCTCACATAGCCCAGGCTGGCCTCAAATTCCCTATGTAGCTAAGGATGACCTAGAATTCCTGATCCTCTTGCCTCTCCTTCCCCAGTGCTGGGATTATAGGTGTGTGTCACCATGCCAGGCTCTATGTTTGGATTTTTTATTAATCAATATGCTCTGGTAATCTTCCTCACAGATTTCTTCACCTCATTTCTTTTGAAATGCTTAAATGTCCTTTGATTTTGCCCATGAGGTTATTTTCCCACAAGGATTCTCATAGTACAGACTACGTGATTAGTTGCTATTTGGGAGTCCCAGAATTCCCTAGTGTCTCTTTTTTAAAAGTTGTTTCTCTGAAGTGGGTTTATCTGTCCAACACAGCATATAACCCAAGTCCCCTAAGGACAGAGATATGTGGGGCAGTGGGTACTAGTTATGGGGAACATTAACATCAGTGGAGCATTTAGGGTGGATGAAGAGGGACATCTGCTCATTTTTTATTTTAAAAAAACCTGTTGAGGTCATGTCCTATAGATACCAGAGTAACAAGATTGACGAGGTCCTACCCCTGTGATGTCCACAGTCCAGTGGGTACAAAAAAAACAAAAAACAAAAATCCACAAAACAAAGCTTCACATTTCTGTTGAGCAGTGGGTAAGATCTAGAGAAAAATGCCCCAGGGTCACCCAATCCAGGTAGGAGGTGTGGTGTAAGAGTGTCTGAAATACCCTGGTGATTCTGTGACCTAGCCCACACCTCCAGGGTAAGGAGGAGTTTGGCCGGCAAGAGAGGGAGGGCAGAGGCTTGGAAAGCATTCCATTAGAGTGGGCAGCCAGAGAGACTACTCAGGAATCAAGAGCAGGTGATATGATAGGGTGGTTTTTTGTTGTTTGTTTGTTTTTTGGTGTTTTTGAGACAGGGTCTTCTTGTAGTGGGGGCTGCACTGGAACTCATTATGTAGACCAGGCTGGCCTTGAACTCACAGAGATCCTCCTGCCTCTACCTCCCAAGTGCTGGGATTAAAGGCGTGCGCCACCACTACGGGCGATATGATAGTTTTTGAAAAGCTGAGGCTTGTCGGGAAGATGGATGCGGATGGGCCTGGAGAGGTAAGACAGGGCCAGATGCGTGCCAAGAGGAAGGCTAGAGCTTTATCTTCTCTAGAGGTGGCAGGCTGCAGAGTGCGGAGGAGTGAGCAGGGAAGAGGGTTGGAAGGCAGTTCTAAGGGTGCGGGGCGGGAGGGGGGGAGAAACGACGACACAGGACACACGCCAGGTAGGCTTTGTACGGAGGGTTAGAGGGGGTGGTCCTGCAAGGTTGGACGACCTTGTGCTCGCCTGCGGAGCTGGAACTGAAGGTGGTGGCAGTCCGAAGGGGCGCAGCCTGGGGTCAGCCCATGTTCTAAAGCCAGTCTGAGCCAGAAAAGGGAGAAGAATGGAGGTAGACAAGTAAGATGTACCCTGGCGTTTTCTGATGGGGGGGTGGGGGGAAGAATAGAACAGGAAAAAAAAGTGGAAAGGACAATTCAGATAAAGATGCCAAAGTAAAGACAACTAGATAAGTTATCTGAATGTGAAAGAAGTTAGGAGCAAATAAGTAAAGGACTCGAGTAAAGGAACCGCCTGGAGTTGAGGCAGTAAAAGAGAAAGTTCAAATGAGATAGCTTGGCTAATCGTAGTGGCCAAGAGGGACGGGCAGGTGTCCCCTCGGAGAAGGGCCTACGATCCTCAGCCACCTCCTGTTGGAGAGGCTGCTGCGATCCGGACCGAGGGCAAGGAACCTCCGTGGACTTCCTGGGAGAAGCAAGAGAGATGATGGCATGCGGGGCGTGTATGTAGGCGTAACAGAAGAATTGGGACAGGTTTCGGTGGCCTCTGCGGCACTGAACCGGCCCTGCATACTGTTTCCCGCTAATTTAGCGGAGAGTTAATTAGGTCCAGGGCGCAGGACCATAAAAGCCCCTAAAAGTGGAAGCAAAACTTTCTCCCACTTTACAAGTGCCGCATCTGGGGCTCAGAGATGGCAACCCTTCACCCTAGATCATACAGGAATCCGATCCTTCGGCCTCCGCAGTGCTCCAGCCCTGGGTCCCGGGGTCACCGCCGCTCCCCCTCAGGGAGGAGCCGGCCCGAGCGCCTCCTGCTCCCCGCCCCCGAGGGGCGGCCCGGGGGGCGGGCGGAGGAAGTGAGCGCAGCGGGGAGGAATGCGAGCGGGCGGGACTCGCCGGCTTGGGGCAGCGGGGCACCCGGCAAAAGGCCGCGACGGCAAGCTGAGCGCGCGCGATGCCTCACTTCACTGTGGTGCCGGTGGACGGGCCGCGACGCGGCGACTATGACAACCTCGAGGGGCTCAGTTGGGTGGACTACGGGGAGCGCGCCGAGCGGGAGGACTCAGACGGTGAGGGCGCGCCTGGAGGGGGCCTTGGCCGGGAATGGGGGCGTCCACGCAGAAGCCGCGCCGTACGCGCCGCCGGACCTCGCGAGCGTAGGTCCTCCACTTTCCTTGCTCCACGCGCTCGCAGGTGGATGAATCTTACGGAGCGGACTCCCCGGCCAAGCCGTGCTCCCCACCCCAGCTCCTCCCCTGCGGGCTGCGGGCTGGGGCTGCAGACGTGGCCGCCCAGGGAGGCCAGCCAGCGAGCTGTCTAGCGCCGGCTGGTGTCCAACGTGCGCCCCTGGCTCAGACTACTCATCAGAAGCCTCGATGGCACTTTCTGAGAATCGCCCCCATCCTCTTGCGAGTCAGCGTCTCTTCCCCTGTGACTCACCTCTCCTCTCTTGTTGGGCCCGTTCCGTCCCCCGCCTCCCTGCTGTCTGGTCGGGTGTGCCCGCTAAAGGGGCCTCTGTTGGCTTTGGGCTAGCTCTGTAGGTACAGCGGGCATCTGGGGAGCAGTCTCACACTGGGCCAGGCTTGTCTAGGTACAACGTGAAGCAACTCGTTTTAATCCTCACAGCCTCCCCCATGGGACAGGTTCTGTTACTTGCATTTAGGAAGGAGTGAAGGGAGGCGGGGAAGAGTTATGTAACTTGTCCCCAGTGGGATTCAAACCCTGAACCTGGGTGTTAAGGGCTGGGCCTAGAGGTGAGCCCTTCCCTTCTTCCAGTGTTTCTTTTCCCCATCTCACTTGGAATATGAACGCTACTGGAGACATTGTCTCTGTAGCTGTATATGCATGTGTAAATGCACGTGTGTAGCCGTGGGTATCACAGAATGAAGACAGGGTCAGGTCAGGGCATTCTCATAGCTACTGATACCTGTGGATCTGCCTGTGATGTCTGACAGACAGTAATGGAAAGATAAATGCATGTTGTGTCAAGTGATGCTATCTTAACCTCTTCTATCTGTGATGGTGACACATCTGAGGTGATCCTGATGTGAATGGTGGCTGTATCCACCTAACTGCCATGTGTAGATGTAGCATAGGATAGTGCCATGGAAGGTTTTCAGGCTTCACAGCTGTGTGTGAGTGGCCCCTGCCCAGTGTCCCTGGCTGCTCCTAGCCTGGTCCAAGGGGTCAGAGCAAGAGCCAATTTCCCTGCTCTGCTAGGCCTGGAAGAATATTTGTCCCCAGAGGATGCACTGAACTGCATCCCTAGGATCAGCCTGGACCAGTGGCAGAGCTGAGACTTGCCTTTGGCCCCACCTTAGTCGTTCACAGGATGACAGGAGTGACCTGGAGCTCTGTTGGCTGCTGGCTGTGTCCTACCAGATCTCCTGGCTAGGCCAGCTCCTCCCATTACCCCCTCTTTCTCCTCCTCTTACTCCTTTTCAGCCAGACTGTGGCTGTGTCTGCAGCATGGGGGATACCCTGCAGCACCCCGGTGAGTGATTTTTTTCTTGGTGGGGATGGCAAAGAGTCAGAGAGCATAGAACTCTTTAGCCTCAGGTCCCCTTCTTGGGACTTTTCCTGCTCCAGCTCAAATCCACTCTTTTGCTCTGAGGGACCATATAGGCCTACTCATCCAGCTGGCCTGTGGCAGTGATGGGGAGGTCCTGAAAGGGCACCTCAGGCAAATGCCATGAACATAGGAAGTAAGAGTGTCAGTTGGGTCACTCCCTGCCACTGGGGCATTCTCAGATTGCACAGGAAGCCCCCAGCCTAGGCTCTGCTCTGGCTCACTGGGGTCTCAGCTAGTGTCTGAACAGCTTGGGCCTGGTAGGCAGGCATGCCCAAACCTGCCCTGGAATTTTTGGAATAGCTGAGTCCAGGGCGGGCAGCTTGAAGCTGAGGGCAGTATAGACCTGAGGTACTGCTTAGACCCTCTCATATTCCCATAATCCTATGGGAGCGGTCCTTAAATGAGGCTTTGTGGAACTCTTAAAAAGTGCCTGCTTGTGTCTGAGACCAGACAGTCCCTCTTCTGTGCATCATGGAAGCTAGAAGAGGGAAGAGCTACTTGTCTACTTCATAGAAGATGACCAAGCAGCAAAGAGAGGGTAAGCAGTTTTCCCTGGGTCACACAGGAAGGGCCAGGAATCCAAGCCAGACTGCTGGTCATCTGAACACACAGAGGCTGGGGTATCCACACACTGGCCAAATTACATATCCCAGATCTCTTTTCTTTGTAAAAATATTGTGCTATACCCTGAAGTGCTCTCTAAATGGACTGGGGTCTAGAACAGGAAAAGAAAACCTGCTGCTCAGCTCCTGCTTGGCTGTGGTAGACCCTGAACTTCTTATCCCTGAAAAGGGGTAAATTACATGTACCAGTCGGTTGCTGTAAGGATAGGACACAACTTTTAGAAGTGCTCTGAGCTACCTTGGAGTGATGGCTGTAGGGCTAGGGATCATTTGGTCATGGAAGGGGGATACTGCTGTGTGCTCAGCTCAACAGTTTCTAGAATTTTTTTTCTTAGCCTTTTTTCCTTCTTGTTTTGTTTTGTTTTGTTTTGTTTTGGTCTTTTTGAGACAGTGTCTCCCTGTAGCCCCAGGTGGTCTGGATTACCTATGGAGGCCAGGCTGGCCTCGAACTCAGAGATCCACCTGCCTCTGCCTCCCAAGTGCTGGCATTAAAGGTGTGCGCCACCATGCCTGGCTCCTTAGCCTTTTTTCAAAACAGGGTCTCCTGTAGTTCAGGCTATCCTTGAAGTTGATAGGAAATTAAGGATGACCTTGAACTTTTTTTTTTTTTTTTTTTTTTTGAGATAGGGTCTTCCTGTAGCCCTAGCTGTCCTGGAACTCACTGTGTAGACCCGGCTGGGCTTGAACTCACAGAGATCCACCTGCCTCTGCCTCCCAAGTGCTGGAACTAAAAACGTGCCACCACACCCAGCCATCATGCTCGTTTTTGTTTAATATTTTATTTATTATATTTAAATATTTTATTTTTTTATTTTATGTGATTGAATGTATTGCCTGTATGTATGTAAGTGCACCTGTGTCATGCAATGCCTACTGAGGTCAGAAGAGGGCGTTGGATCCCCTGGAACCATGCTCAGTTTTATTTGGTGTGAGGGACTGAACCCAAGGCTTTGAGCTTAGTAGGCAAGCATTCTACCAAGTGAGCTACATCCTTAGTCCTCCTTTAACTTTTTCATTTGTTTTTTGAGACAGGAACTCACTCTGCAGTCCAGGCTGTCCTTGAAAACCATTATGTAGCCCACATGTACCTTGAACTCAGGATCCTCCCTGCTCCAGCCTCCCAGAGGCTGGAGTTACAGGGATATGCCACCATACCCAGATCAACAGTTTCTAGATAATAGTGCATTCTCCTCAGAAACACATAGTGACAGTAGTGGGACAGCCTGTGGTGTGTGCATTTAGAATAATTTGTAATTCATTTCCAGACTCTTTCCACAAAAGGTTCAGAGCTGTGCAACAAAAGTACCTTCTGAGCCAGGTGTGGTGGCACACACCTTTAATCCTAGTACTCAGGACGCAAAGGCAGGAAAATCTCTGTGAGTTCAAGGCCACCCAGGTCTACATAGTGAGTTCCAGGCCAGTTTTGACTACAGGGAGACCCTGTCTCAAAAAGACCAAATAATAATAATGATAATAATAATAATAATAATAAAATGCCTTCTGAAAGGATGCAGAGGAAGGAGGCAAAAACCCTGACATTAAATTGATGACTTTGGGGCTGGAGAAATGGCTTGGTGGTTAAGAACACTGGCTACTCTTTCAGAGGACTCAGGTTCAATTTCCAGCACCCACATGGCAGCTAACAACTGTCTGTAATTCCAGTTCCAGGAAAATCCAGTGCTCTCTTCTGACCTCCTCAGGCATTGCATGACATGGGTGCACTTACATACATGCAGGCAATACACTCATACCACATAAAATAAAAATAAAATATTTTAGGCCAGGCATGGTGGCGCACGCCTTTAATCCCAGCACTCGGGAGGCAGAGGCAGGTGGATCTCTGTGAGTTCAAGGCCGGCTGGGCATACAGGGAGACCCTGTCTCAAAAAGACAAAAATAAATAAATAAAATAAAATATTTTAAAAATAAATAAATTGATGATTGCATCTAAGGACCAAATTAAGGTTGGAGATGCCTAGCAGTCAAGGCAGAAAGGGAAGTAAGATGGGCTGTATAGCTGCCATTTTCTGATAAAATGAAAAATATGATTTATTCAAAAGAGACACCTGTTTTTGTTGATGGTGGTGGCAGTGTGTTTTTTTGTTTGTTTAAATGATTTACTTATTTTTATTTTATGTGTATGAGTGTTTTGCCTGCAGGTATGTAAGTGCACCCAAGTTGTGCAAAACTCTGTGAGGGCCAGAAGAAGGTGTCAGATCCCCTGGAACTGGAGTTACAGATGGTTATTAACCACTGTGTGGATGCTGGGAGCTGAACTTGGGTCCTTTGCAAGAGCAGCCAGTGCTCTTGATTGCTGAGCCATCTCTCTAGCCACTATTGCTTTGTTTTTGTTAGAAAAATCAGAGTAATTTTCAGAGGCCTCTCACTGAAGAATTTTTTATATAAAAGGCAGCTGTGACTAGGTTTTGCTATTTTTCTTCTGATTTCTTATCCCCAATAAGCATAGGAGTTAGCACAAATGTCACAGAGTGTCTGATGAGCTACATGATCACCCTGGGCTTTAACAGGACTTGGTGGGGTGAAATGACTGCCCACCATTCCCATTGAGTTATGTGCAGTCATCACATGTGGGAACTGAGAGCCAAGTATGGTGGCACACACCTGGAATCTCAGCACCTGGAAGGAGGAAGCAAGAGGATCAGGAGTTCAAGACCATCCTTGACTACATAAGGAGTTTGAAGCCAGCCTGGGCACCTGCTGAGTGATTGTGGGCTCCAAGAAGACAACTTAAACCACATACAACAAAAAGTTTCAGATGAAGGATGCATCAAAGAACAGCCTCAGATGCAAATGAGAGAAATGAGTGGTGGCCTGTTCGCACAGAAAAGATTGACAGTATAACCAGCACTTAGTCCAATAATACCACACCACTGGCCTAGGCTAATGATGACACTTTGGTTGCCACTCCCATCTTGGCACAGCATGTTAACCTATCTACCCTCAAAACTGTATGGTACTGCCATCAACACATGACTTTGAATCCATGGTCTGCTCCCCATTTGCTGTGAGACCTTGAGCCAGGGCTACAGATACCAGGCTATCTTGGAGAGAAGCGGGACACTGCATCCAGAAAGGAGTGTCTAAGGTCTTCTGCTTGCTTGGTGGAAAGCTGGGAATATTACCCACTGAGGCGTATAAGGGACAGATGAAGCCAGAAAAAACAGCTGAGCTTTAGGGATTAAGGCAGGCTTATAAAAATGTGCATGAGAGCTGGGGAGATGGCTCCCTTGGAAAGTGCTTGCTATATATGCATGAGGACCTGAGTTCAGATCATTAGAACCCATGTTGAAAAGGTGGGTGCCCCATGTGCTTGTAATCCCAGTGCTGGGGAGGCAGAGACAGGAGGATTCCTGCAGTTTGCTGGCCAGCTACTCTAGCCGAATTGGTGTGCTTCAAGTTTAGTGAGAGAACCTGTCTCAAAACAAGGTGGAAAAGGGCTGGATACATGGCTCAGGGTCAAGAGCACTGGCTGCTCTTGCAGAGGACCCAGGTTTGATTCCCAGTACCTTCTGCAGTCATTGCACGACATAGGTGCACTTACATACATGCAGGCAATACACTCATACACATAAAATAAAAATAGTAAATGGTTTTGGGTTTTTTTTTTTTTTGGTCTTTTTGAAACAGGGTCTCCCTGTAGCCCCAGCTGGCCTGGAATTCACTATGTAGATCAGGCTGGCCTCGAACTCACAGAGATCCACCTGCTTCTGCCTCCCAAGTGTTGGGACTACAAGTGTGCACCACCATGCCTGGCATAATAAATAAAATATTTTTTAAAATAATGTGGAGAGGGGCTGGAGAGATGGCTCGGTGGTTAAGAGCACTGATTGCTCTTGCAGAGGACCCGGGTTTGATTCTCAGCACCCACATGGTGGCTACAAACCATCCTTAACTCCAGTTACAGGGAATCCGAAGCCGTCTTCTGACCTCTGAGGCATTGCAGAACATGGGTGCACTCACATACGTGCAGGCAATACACTCATATACATAAAAAAATAATGAAGTATTTTAAAAAAATAATGTGGAGAATGAGAAAGAAACTTGATGTTGACCTCTGATACATACATAGGTATGCACACATACATACACCAAAAAGCTCATGAGAGCTAGGCATGATGGCTTATATTTGTAATCCCAGCATTTGGGAAGCTGGGGCAGGAGGATTACCACAAGTTTGAGACCAGCCTGGGCTACAAAGTGAGACCCTATTGGGAGGGGTAGAAGAAAGAGTGAGCATGGTTTTGTGGCTCGGTGGTAGAGCACTAGCTCCATGAGGTCGAGGGTTTGATTCCCCACGCAGCATAAATATGTAGAAAGAATGTGCCCTGGCTCTTGTCTGAGTCATCTAGGAGATGAGGCACATTTTTTGCCAGTCTGAGAGGTGAGTGGAGGCTGGAGTGGGCCTCTCACCTGTTCTGGAGCAAACTGCCTGAATCTGGGGACCAAAGAGCCAGTGGGTGGCTCCTGACAGCTGCCCACGCTCCTGCTTTTACTCTACTCAACCCAAGACCCAGGCAGTTCCTGGCTTTCTGGATGGCTGTTTCTGGCTCTTTGTACACATGTGAGGTTGGCCCCAACTCCCAGCATGCTCTGGGCTGTCCTCCAGGGTGCCTCACGAGGTGCATGGTGGGGTAGCTCGCAGGTCCCCCAGTGGGCCATGACAGCCAAAGGCTCTCTGGGTGGTTTTGTCTATCTGGAGGGCAGCATGGTGCCTGGCATCCTAGGTAATCCAGATTGGTGGGGAGAAGGGAGGTGGGGTTTGAGGGTGGATCATAGCCTGGCCCCGCCTCTTTAGCAGGCTCTGCCCCTCTCTTAAGCCTGCTGGCCTTTGTGTGCCTCTGGGGCATTGATGTCTTCAGCTACAGGGAATGATGCCCAGGTATTTGATTACTGGCTATTCCTCCATTATCTATGGCCCTTCAAGAAGGCTGACTGTGTCAGGCCAGGTGGCACATGCCTATCATCCCAGCTTTTGATTCCAGCACTCAGAGGCCAAATCAGGCAAATCTCCTTGGGATAGAGGCCAGCCTGGTCTACATAGTTATTTACAGGCCACTTGGGACTACAAGGAGACCCTGTCTCAAAACAAAACAAAAAACAGAAAAGGGGAGGGCAGGGGGTGGGGGAGGGAGACTGATGGGGAAAACAGAGACCCATCGTCTTAATGCTGTGGTCTCCGAAGTGTTTTACAGAGACAGTCTATAAATGTTTATCATTTCACAGCCTTTGGCTAAGATCAAGTTCATAGATGTTCTAGAGTGTAGTACAGGCTGGGGCCTTAGGAGCACCTAACTGGGATTCTTTTCCTCTCTCTCCACAGGACAGGGTAACCACAGAGAGAACAGCCCTTTCCTTTGCCCTTTGGAGACTTCCAGAGGAAGTGACTACTATGACAGGAACCTGGCACTGTTTGAGGTACCTGGGGAGCCATTCTGGGCCACAGGTGTGGGGACAGGTGGATCTCTCAGCTGAGCAGCAAACTGGCTCCACTTCTAGTCCCCCTTTGTCTGCCTCCACCTGGTGGCAGCTCCACTGTGGTTTTGTTGACCCTTTCGATTCAAACTGCTTTCCCAGAGGCCACTCACAACCCCACCTCCACTGTCATCTACAGGGTTGTTCACCTTCAAATCCTTGCAGGCCCTTACCAAGGTGACTGTGTCCTCAGGCTTCCTTCTCCCCTCCATTCTTAGGACTTCCTCCAGTCCTCTGTTCTGCTCTCTCCCATGAATAGTCTTCCTTTTCTTTCCTAATTGGCTCTTCCAACTCTGTTCCCTTCTTGTTTACAGAGGCCAGTTTTCCTTCCAGCATCAGTACAACTCTTCCCTTTACAACTACTGTCTCAGTGGACACTACTCTGGAAAGATTCCTACATTTGTGCCTCTCAACTTGACCTTTTTCTTTTCTAAACCCAAGCTGAGAAGATCTGAATTTAAGACATGGTTCAGATTCCTAAACTCTGAACCCATACATTCATCTGCCTCACAGTCAAATAATGTAAGCTTCTTAATCCCCACATACTCAAAGGGTCTCCTCCTCACTCCCAACCAGGCTCCCTGTGTATAGGGTCAGCAAAGAATTGATGAACAGGGAAAGACTAAATGTGGACAGAAGGCAGGTAGAGTCACAGCGCTAAGGCCACAAGGCCAGGGAAAGCTTAGACCTCTGTAAGGGGTCAGTCTTGAACTCTGGGAGTCTTTAAGACCTGCCTTCACCTGAGGGTGGAGAGGAGGGCAAGCATCCTACCTCAGAGACTGAAGCAGGTTATTCATAGACCAGGGCCTGGGGACATCAACCAGAAAGGTCCAGGGTTTAAGCAGACAACAAATTACACTTGTTCCCAGACATCCCTCTTTTGTGTTTCTTGGTGTTTCCTGAGGTGTCTGGGGTGGCTTTGTGTGTGTGTGTGTGTGTGTGTGTATGTATGTATGAATTGAGGAAGATGTGAATCCCAGAGACCCAGTCATAGCTGGAAAGTAGCCAAGCAGGAAGGATGAAGTGTGTGGCTTACTTGCCTGCCTGTCTGCCTGCCTGTCTGCCTGCTAGTCCTGCCCTTCCCTATCCCCTGAGGCGAGTGGTTTTCACAAATGGGCTGGCAGTGATTGCAGCAAAGGTGGGGCAGAGAGAAGCAGTACTGAGCCTTTTGAGTGCCGCCTACTGGGGTGTGGTGCCCACACCTGTCCAGTTGGCTGGCTTGTGCTTCCCCAGGCGAGAGCTGGGATCAGGCCCAGGCCTGCCTCAGGGCTTGGCACTGGGTCAGCAGCCAGGATGCTGGTTACACACAGGTATCCTGATGCTGGCCTGGCACGTTGCCATATTGCCCCGTGGCTCTGTTTACAGGAGGAGCTGGACATCCGCCCAAAGGTGTCGTCTCTTCTGGGCAAGCTTGTCAGCTACACCAACCTCACTCAGGGAGCCAAGGAACATGAGGAAGCTGAGAGCGGAGAAGGTGCCCGTCAGAGAGCAGCCAAGGTAAGTCAGTGTCAGCAGAGGGGCCATGCCTGGCAAGACAAGCAGCAGATCACCACTGAACTGGATGTTTCCTCATGTGGGGTTAAGCACATCTGGGCCAGTGGGTGCCAGGTATGGTGAGCATGAAGGATGGGAACTGAGTGCCTTACACTGAAGGAGGCTTTAAAGGCTGTGCTAAGAAGGAACTTAGGAAGAGCAGAGGCCCAGGGAGGTCTCAAAAGTGAAAGCAAAAACAGCAGCTCTCTATAACTGGCTGTCAGCATGTAAGGCATCTCTTTAAAAGTGGGCACAGGTTCTTGAATATTGTCTTTACAACAAAGCTGTGAAACAGAAGCCTGGCATGGCACACACCTGGAGTCCCATTGATTTGGGAGGGGCTGAAGCAGGAGGAATCTTGAGCCTAGGCTAGCTTGGGCAACTGGCTGTGCTTAGGAGAATCTGGGGTCTGATCCTGGCTGTGGTATTTTTGCCAGTGAGCACAAGCCAAGATAATTCCTGGTTAAGTCAAGTCAGCTTCAGAGGTATCTTTAAAAAGAAGAAAGGAAAAAAGAAAGAAAAAGTTGTTAAGCATCTTTAGGTTTTTTGTTTTTTGAGACAGGGTCTCGTGTAGCCCAGGCTGTCCTGGAACATACTATGTAGCTGATAATGACCTTGAACTCTGATCCTCCCACTTCTGTCTTTCACTTCCCAAATACTGGAATTAGAGGTACATGCCAACCATGCCCAGATGTTTTTCTTCTTTCTTAAAATCCCCTCTGAGCCCTGCCTACTGCCCATCTAAGTCTTTAATTCAGCCTCCTGGCTCCTTAAGCCCAACAATTTCCAATCTTCTTTTTGAGATGAGGAAACTGAGGGATAGGTCCTTAACTGACTAAGATGGATGCACAGTACTGGGAGAAAGATTTATAGGTTTACTGTGAGATAGATAACTGAAATGACAGATCACTGGCATCACACCAGAGTGAGGAGCCAGGAACCTACTTATCCCTGGGGGCTGTGCAATCTAGAACAAGTGACAAACACACAAACCCTCCCTGTGTGCCCCCCCCCGACACCTGACTGCTCACTGTGCTGACCCAAGTCTCCACTGGCAGAGCCTTCTGCAGCCCTGGGTTCCTTGAGTACTGTTGTGGGGGAAGGACATGTATGTGATAGGAGCCTTCTTCCTTGTAGGGCTTCCCTGCCTCTTTTCTGGTCCCTGGTTGTCTTTTTTGGTCCCTATTACCTGCTCATTTCCTCTGGTCCTTTAGTCTCCACTAACTATTTAGGATGACTTTGTTTTGTTTGGGGTTTGGGTTTTGTTTTTTAGATGGTGCCTTATGTGACTCGGGCTGGACTTGAACTCGATATGTAGCAGAGGCTGGCCATGAACTCCTGATTCTCCTACTTCCACCTCCCAAGTACCAGGATTACAAGTGTGTGACACCATACCTGATGACTTTTCATCTTTTTAATTTTGTTTTTGCTGGGAATAGAACCCTGGGCATTATGCATGCTAAACGTACAGTCTACCACTGAGCTATATTCCCAGCTCCTAGGATGATTTTTGCATCTTTGTTTAGCCCCTCTGTCTGATAGACCGGTTTAACTGAGGGTTGGGAATTTCTTCTATATTTTTTATTTGGAAGCAAGGGACACTTCCTACCTCCTGCCTCCCTGAGGTTTGGGAAATGGCTGTGCTTAGAAGCAGCGGGGGTCTAGTTTTGGCTGTAGTATTCTCTTTGGTGGTCAGCACAAGCCAGAATAACTCCTGGTTAAGAGAAGGCCAGGTCATCAGCTTCAGACCTGCTTGTGAAAAGTGGACATTGCTGGGATCAGCCCAGGAGAGAGGGTGGACCAAGTTAAAGTAGATCCTTACTGCTGGGGACGGTGGCACACACCTTTAATCCCAGCAGAGGCAGGTGGATCTCTGTGAGTTCCTAGCCAGCCTGGTCTATATAGCAGGAGTTCCAGGTCAGCTAGGGCTACAGGGAGACCCTGTCTCAAAAAGACCGCCCCCCCAAAAAAGTGTACCCCTCACCTATTGCTTAGGCAAACCAGCCCACTCTTCAGACAGGGCAGATAATATCTTGAGGTGGCCCAGACCTGACCCCCACCCTCTCCTGCTGGTTGTGATTTTGCTGGCATGTTCTGAACTAAAGACTGCTGTCTCTGGCCATGCCTTTGCATCCTTATAGGAGAAGTCACAAGTTCTAAGAAAATGTTCAGTGGGTGATAGAATCCTTTGGTAAGAGCCTCATCCCTGTCCCCTCAGGCCATGCTAGGAAACTGGTAGCTGGGAATGAAAAAGCCCTCAAGGAAGGCCTGTGCATGTCTCAGCAAGAGTGTGTGAAAGAAACCTGGGTTGGTGAGGGGCTGTGGGCCTTTGGCTTAATTGGACTCCAGCCTCTGCTACTCTACATACCTGATCCTAGGATAAGGATGTGAGAGGGTACCTGAGGGTCCTAGCCTCATTGGCTTATCCATAGAGGGAGGAGGAACCTGGCCAAATCTGATAGGAAGTTACAGAGCAATAGGCCTCAGAAAAGAAGGCTTGAAGCAGAAGGGTGTTGGGTCTCCAATCAGACCACGTCAGGACCCAAAAGCAGCCTCTCACTGGAAGCCACTCCTACTTTGGCCCAGTGACCTTCTGAGGCTGCCAGAGGTTATTTAGGGATGCAAAAAGCATTTCCGGCCCTGCCCTTTCCCACACTGCCCTTTTCTCAGAGTGACTCAGCCTAAGATGGGTATAGGACTGGGAGCTCTTGCTATTACCACTATCCAGTGGGTGGTGTCCTCTGAGAAGGGCTCCAGGGAGCCCAGAATAAGGTGTGTCTCTTCTGTACCGCACTGTGCAGGACAGTGTGGGGAAGCTTTTGTTTTTGTCAGGTTCTTCTGAAGGTCCTTCAGGCCCAGACCTGGCACTTCAGGAGGGTTCTTCCTCCCCCAGCTTCAGGACAGAGGAGGCTTTTGTGGGATTCTCTGCCCTGGGCTGCATCAGTATTGCCTCTGTGTATACAGCCTCTGCCATGGCTTCCTGGCTGGCCCCTCACCTGCCCTTATAGAGTTGAGAAGCCCTGCCGATCTGTGTCCTTACCTGCCCACAGCCTGGTCTGTGTTCTGTCTGTGCAACTTCCCAAAACAGGAAGAGACTTCCATGACACCATTCACTGAGTTCAGGAGCACATTTTGGGGACATGTAAGACTCACTGGTATTAGAACAGTAAATGAGCCAAGTCTACTGCACCATGGGCATGGATATACCAGTAAACTGTTGATTACTGTGACTTGGAATAACCATTGTCACAGAAGTGAATGTCAGATGCTGAGGGAATGAATGCAGGAGCACCCAGTCCATTCAGCCCCAGGGAACTTCCTGGGAAGGGTGATAGTTAAACTTCCTGGAGAGGAGATTTCACTGAAGAGGAGTTTGCCAGTCAGTGAGGTAGTCCCTACCTCCTGAGCAGAGCCTACCACATGCCTAGGTTCAAAGGTTCTAAGGGAAGAATGTAGTTTGGAACTGGGGCTGATGAGGAAGGTAATGGAGTACAGCTGGTGACCCCAGACAAGGAGTCTGGACCACATGCCACACACAGGATTAGAGGGCAGTGCAGAAGATTTCAACAGGAATGAAGAGATTGAACTTGGTTTTTAGAGTGGAGAGGCTGGCAGGTGTGGGAGGCACCACTCAGTATCCCCAGGCATACTGCTGCATGTTCAAAGGTCTAAGACTAGGACAAAGCAGGCCAATGTAAGGGCAGCAGGGAGGCAGAACTCTGTCCACTTGAACTAGAGTCAGGGGATTGGAGTAAAGGAGGAACAGGGTCAATATTTTGGGCTTTGGCTTGAGTGATGGGGTCTGTTAGGTGAGATGGTGGGGATCTGAGACAGGCCCCTTTTCCAGAAGTGGAACAAAAACCAGAATGTAAATGTGGCAGTGTACTCCTGTAATCTCACCACTCAGGAGCCTGAGACAGAAGGATTGCCATAAGTTTGAGGCCAGTAAGTTCCAAGCCAGCCTGGCTAAAGAGTGAGACCCTGTTCCAAAAAAAAGCAAAAAACAGAAAAGGGCCAGAATTGGTGATGTACACCTAATAATTCTAGCTCAGGAGGCTGAGACAGAAGGCTCATCGTAAGTTCAAGACCAACTCTAGTCTATATAGTGAGCTCCAGGCCAGCCAGGGCTATATAGATAGATTTTATCTCAAAAACAAAAGAAGAGCTGGGCGTGGTGGCGCATGCCTGTAGTCCCAGCACTTGGGAGGCAGAGGCAGGCGGATCTCTGTGAGTTCAAGGCCAGCCTGGTCTACATAGTGAGTTCCAGGACAGCTGGGGCTACAGGGAGACCCTGTCTCAAAAAGACAAAAAAATAAAAAAAGAAGAAATACAACAGAAGAGGAAGGGAAGGAGGCAATACCTTAGTTTAGGGGAAGGGGTAAGGTTCAAATCTTACACATGGATTTTAGAAAAAATCAGGTCTTGGCCTGCAAGATGGCTCAATGGGTAAAACCACTTGCAGTAAAAGCCTGATGACTTGAATTTGAGAGAAGTGACTTCCAAGGGTTGTCCTCTGTCCACCACATGCATGCCATGGCATGTGTGTACCGCTGCCCCCCACACACACACATCATGAACACCCATACAGCAATGATAAATTTAAAAAGAAGAATCCGGTCTCATACCTTCCCAGTCTGAACTATCTTCCTATGTGTCAGGAGAAAGATATTCTAGCTTTCACCCCCACCCCCATCCTGCACTCCACTGGACCCCAGGTATGGGAGCTGCTGAGTGGCTAGGGGCTTCTCTACATGGTACATCTAGACCTCTCTGATGTTCTGTGTCCCCTCCTTTCCTGCCCACTCAGGCACCCAGCATGGGCACCCTCATGGGGGTGTACCTGCCCTGTCTACAGAACATCTTTGGGGTCATTCTGTTCCTGAGGCTGACCTGGATGGTGGGTACGGCTGGTGTGCTGCAAGCCCTCCTCATCGTGCTTATCTGCTGCTGCTGTGTGAGTGTCCCAGTGGGCTAGGGCTGGTCTGGGCACGGGCCATGGTCTCCCACAGAGCCCACCCAGCTGAGCTGCTCATCCAGGCCCTCTTTTCTACAGACCCTGCTGACAGCCATCTCCATGAGTGCCATCGCCACCAATGGTGTGGTTCCAGGTGAGTGAGTCCCACCCTTGCCTGTTGCAGGGTACATGTTCCAGAATCCAGCTTGATCTGTCTTCTATCCTCCATTGTCTCTCTCCGCAGGCAGTTCTCTAGAGAGGTCCCATCTCTAACTCCAAGACAATTTAGGAACTTCCCTGATCAACACAATTTGAGACTGCTGTTATGTTTTGTTGATATAAAAATTGCACACTTTTGGGGGCTGGAGAGATGGCTCAGCGGTTAAGAACGCTGGTTGCTCTTGCAGAAGACCTGGGTTCAAATCCCAGCACCCACATGGCAGCTAACAACTGTCCGTAACTCCAGCTCTAGGGGATCCGACAGCCTCATCTGTCTTCCGCAGGCATTTCACGACACGAGTGCACTTACCTGCATGCAGGCAATACACGCATACACATAAAATAAAAATAATAAATAAAAAAAAATTTTTTAATTGCACACCTTTAATCCCAGCACTCAGGAAGTAGAGGCAGGCGGATCTCTGACGTTGAGTCAAGCCTGGTCTACATAGCAAGTTCCAGTCCAGCCAGGGCTACACAGTGAGACCCTGTCTCAAAAACAGTAATGCACCCTTCCCAAGAAAGTGCAATATGTGTTCACCATAAGAAGGCTTAAAGGGACAGGAAAGCTTAGAATGGAAAACCAAAAGCACCCATAATCTTACCATGTTAAGTTCATTACTGTTAGCCTTTGGCACATGGTCGTAGATGCTTGTTAAGTATTGGTCTGTGGTGTGTGTGTGTGTGTGTGTGTGTGTTTCCCAGACTTTGGGAAAAAATTTTTTTTTTAATTTCATGTGTGTGAATATTTTGCCTGCATGTATGTAAATGCACCTGTGTCATGCAATGCCCATGGAGACCAGAAGAGGGCATCAGGATTCTAGAGCTGCAGATGGTTGTTAGCCATAATCTGGGCGCTGGAACCAAACCCAGGTCATCTGCAAGAGCAGCCAGTGCTCTAAACTGCTGAACCATCTTTCCAGCCCCTAGAAAAAAAATTTAAAGCAGGGTTCTCTATGCTAGTATATAACCAGTTTATGAAATTACTCTCCTATATGTGGATTCTACTTTCTCACCATCTTATTTTATTTGGGATGTGTGTGTTTTCTGGTTTTCTTGGCTGCCCTGGAACTCAACATGTAGATTAGGCTGGTTCTGAACTGCCTCTGCCTCCTGAGTGCTAGGATTATAAGCATGCACCACCACACAAGCCTCTTTTTCACCATTGTAAGCACCACTGTTGTGAACAGCCTTAACACCCTTGATGGTTACTTTAGGAGAGTCCTAGAGGTGGGGTTACAACATAAAAGAAATTGACTCTCCCCTTGTATTTTTTGGTTCCTATTACCAGATTTTTACCAGAGAGGATTTGGTACTAGCGTAGGATCGCTCTTAGTCCTTACCACCTTGGGGCCCAGTGTTGACTGCCAGTCACCTAAGGGTATTAGACTCTGACAGAAGCATAAATTCAGGGCAGATCTATGCTAGGCCACAGGGTCAAAAAATAAAAATGACGGGCTGGAGAGATGGCTCGGCAGTTAAGAGCACTGGCTGCTCTTGCAGAGGACTTGAGTTCAATTCTCAGCATCCACATGGTAGCTAACAACTGTCTGTAACTCCAGTTTCAGGAGATACAGGGCCCTCTTCTGACCTCCATGGGCACTGCACAACATGGGTGCACTTACATATGTGTAAGCAATACACTCATACACATAAAATAAAAATAATAAATATTTTTAAATAAATAAATAAAAATAAATGAACAGGATCCTGCCTTAGTCTGTGAAAGAGAAAAGTGGTCCTTATCCTTTTGGGTGGTGTGGGGTTTTGCCATGAGGCAGACCTCATTGAAGAACTAGCCTTAACTTGTGTCACTTTCTCCACTGTAGCTGGTGGCTCCTATTTCATGATTTCCCGCTCACTGGGACCAGAATTTGGAGGTGCTGTGGGCCTGTGCTTCTACCTTGGAACAACATTTGCAGCAGCCATGTATATTCTAGGAGCCATTGAGATCTTGCTGGTGAGTCAGGCAAAGTCCTGATCAGTACTCTCCTCATCCCTGGCCAGGATCTGGGGTTTTCTATCGTGGGAGGCCTCAAGGGAAAAAGACCATTGCTCAGTTGAGCCGCCTCTTCACTCTTGTGCTAGTTTGGCCCAGGCATGGAAGAGGCCTGGTTGCTCTCACCTTGGCCTGGATATTTCATCTACCTAAATACTGTTTGGGCCATGGAAGTCTGCCAAGTATTTATTTAGCTAAGTAACAGATTTTGATGGGGACACAGAGACAGCCTCCCAGGCTTGTGCAGGCCCTGGACAGCTCTGCCTCCCCTAGACTCTATGCCAGGGCCCTTTAGATTTATTTTCCCCTTGTCCTAAGTCAGATTGAACAGCCATCAAATTCTGTCTGGAGGTCCTTGAGTCCCAGGGTGCCTGGACCAATGGGAGAAAGGGTAGAGGGGCTAACACAGGGTCAGAGGTACTCCCTTGAGGATCCAGAAAATAGGATTGTTTAGAGGTCCTGCCTGGCTCTTCCCATCAGCCGCCTGGACCTTGTGTCTAGATCTTCTGAGTTTTTAATTTGTTTTCTCTTTCTCATATTCTGCATTATTTGGAATTCTTCTGTAAGGAAATGTGTTCCTTCTCCCCATTGTATTTGTTTATTCAACTGTGTAATTCTGTGGGCTTCTGGATGTTTATTTTGTTCTCTGGGTTATTGGGTATAATCCAATACTATCGTTATTTTGGTGTTCAAACTTTCTTTTTGGCCCTTCCTTCTACAAGGTGGCATCTAGGCCTATACCTCCTTTCCTTTCTGTTTCTTTTCCTTTCCTTTCCTTTTCCTTTTTTCAGTAGTAGTTTTGTTGAAATGTAATTCACATATCAAGCAATTCACTACCCATTCAAAAAGTATGCAACTGAGGGGTCAGCAAGATAGTGGCTTAGTGGGTTAAAGTGCTTGCTGTCAAGCCTGATGACTTGAGTTTGATCCTGGGTACCCACATGCTAGAAGGCAAGAACTGTCTCCCTCAAGTTGTATTCTGACTTCCATACCTGCACTATGGCATGTGTACACACAAAAATAATAAACGTAGGCTGGCCGTGGTGGTACATGCCTTTAATCCCACCACTTGGGAGGCAGAGGCAGGCGGATCTTTGTGAGTTTGAGGCCAGCTTGGTCTACATAGTAAGTTCTAGGACAGCTGGGGCTACAAGGAGACCCTGTCTCAAAAAGACAAAAATAATAATAATAATAAATGTAACAAATTTACAAGTCTGAAGCAGCCTGGGCTGTACAGCAAGAGTCTAAAGAGAAAAGAAAATGTTACTGGTTTTTAGTACATTCATAGGGTTGTAACCATCACTACAATCAGTTTTAGAACATTTTCATCACCATCCCGTCCCCTTGGGAAAGCACCTTGACAGACACTAAACTGTTTTCTTTCTCTGTGGATTTGCTCTTCTGGACATTTCATATACTGGAATCACATAATATGTGGTCCTCAGTGACTGACTTCTTTTAGATATACTTTTAAAAAGAAAACCAAAATGACAGGTTTCACTCCCCAAACAGGAAGATCAAACCCAGTACTTCTGTCTTCTTATTTCAGACCTATATTGCTCCACCAGCTGCCATTTTTCACCCATCAGGCACTCATGACATGTCAAGTGCTACCCTGAATAATATGCGGGTGTACGGGACCATTTTTCTGACTTTTATGACCTTGGTGGTGTTTGTTGGTGTCAAGTATGTGAACAGATTTGCCTCACTTTTCCTGGCCTGTGTGATCATCTCCATCTTTTCCATCTATGCTGGGGGCATCAAGTCTATTTTTGACCCGCCTGTGTTTCCGTAAGTAACTGGGGTATTTGTCTAGCCATTACACTTGTAAACAGCCTTTGATACCCTGGATCCCTAAGATTGCAGGGTGGGAACAGGCTAGGGTTCCAGCTGAGCAGATGCCAATGCTTCCATCCTTACAGGGTATGCATGCTAGGCAACAGGACCCTGTCTCGGGACCAGTTTGACATCTGCGCCAAGACAGTTGTGATAGACAATGAGACAGTGACCACCCGACTGTGGAGTTTCTTCTGCCATAGCCCCAACCTAACTGCTGAGTCCTGTGACCCCTACTTCTTGCTCAACAATGTGACTGAGATCCCTGGCATACCTGGGGCAGCTGCTGGTGTGCTCCAGGGTGGGTCCTCCCTGCTCTTCCCCCAGTCTCCCAGCCTATGGACTGAGCAGGAAAACTGAGCACAGAGCTATCCTTGTATGGCCAGCTCTGGAATGGGGGCAGTTCTGGCTGTTTTCCCAGCTCTTCAGTGTTGTCTTAGCCTAGGCTCCTGGGTGAATGGAGCCTGTCTGGCTAGCATCCCAAGCTTTCAGCAGCCTCTGGAAAATTCTGGCAGCCCCTCATAAATTCTGGCAGCCCCTCATCCTCCTGCTACCAGCCTCCTATGCTGCCTGGGGATGTTCCCACAAGAACCATAAAGGGTCTCTGTCTGGGACATAGGCAGGGGTGAGGTTCTGGCTGATGATGGTTCAGTCACCTTTGTCAGATTTCTAACAGGAAAGCTTCCTCTCTCTGGCCAGAACTGTCCTGTGATAGACACTGTAGCCATTGGATTCAAACTGTCCCCAGAGTTCCCAGAACTTCCCTGTATCTGTAACCTCTAGCAGGGCTGCCCCAAACTTCCCTGTGGAAATCAGTGGAGCTGTAGTGGTAATACCCCTCCCCCTACAGAAAATCTGTGGAGTGCCTACCTGGAGAAGGGTGAGATTGTGGAGAAGTATGGGCTGTCCTCCACAGACACCCTTGGCCTGAAAGAAAGCTTGTCCTTATATGTGGTAGCTGACATCGCCACATCTTTCACTGTGCTGGTTGGCATCTTCTTCCCTTCTGTAACAGGTAAGACCCTCATGCCCACCCACTCAGCCCTGCCCCAAATCCTGGGGAATCCCTGAGGGAATTCTGTCTGGTTTTGGAGGCATCATGGCTGGCTCAAACCGCTCTGGGGACCTCCGTGATGCCCAGAAGTCTATTCCAGTGGGGACCATTCTGGCCATCATTACCACTTCACTTGTGTGTATCCTTTCCCAGTCATGAGGCTTGTGGGGCAGATGTATAAGTTGCCAGTCAGTGTGTACAGGCACACCTCACACATGTAAACATGTAACCAAGCATGGTGGCTCATACTTTTAATCCCAGCACTCGGGAGGCAGAAGCAGGTGGATCTCTGTGAGTTCAAGACAAGCCTGATCTACAAAGAAACTTTCAGGCCAGCTGGGTCTACATGGAGTTCCTGTGTCAAGAATACCAAAAAAAAAGACCAAAAAAGAAAAAAAATCCAACACATGCAAACATGTATACCTTATGCTCTTGTGCACATATACACACTTAAGGGTCATGCATGTGCCTACCATGGGACCCTCAGCTACCTCAGGCTGAGGCTGTGGCTGTGAGGGTCACAAGGGTCTTGTGTTGGGAATGAGTTGGTACTCTGCAGTGTGGTAGAAGCCTAGCTTCCTTAATATAGCCCAGACTTCAGCAGTGTGATTCTCTTTGGTGCTTGCATTGAGGGTGTGGTGCTCCGAGACAAGTGAGTATGCTATGCCCCTCCCTGTCAGCTTTTCCTGCCCTTACACCAGCTCCCTCCCCAATCACCCATGGTCCCACACATCTTAGGCAGTTGGCTGCTAGTAATGATCTATGTAACCATGGTGACATCAGAATCAAAGACGGGACAAAGGCAAGGATACAAGGATGGGGTTGGTAACTGATCTCCACTAAAAGCTAGAGCTCTGCCTTTCCTCTCATAGCCTTCCTCCCTGACCTCTGACATTCCTTACTCTGGGTGACCCCACCCAGGACTTGGGTGGCTCCTTCCTAGAAGTATGGTCTGAGCCTGGCCTCTGCAGGTACGGTGATGGTGTCAGCAGGAACCTGGTGGTGGGCACCTTGGCCTGGCCTTCGCCCTGGGTCATTGTTGTTGGATCCTTCTTTTCAACATGTGGTGCTGGCCTCCAGAGCCTCACTGGGGCACCACGCCTATTGCAAGCTATTGCCAAGGATAACATCATCCCCTTCCTCCGGGTAAGCCCTTCTGTACACCCCACAGCCTGGCTGCTCCCAGTTCCTTGTATTAGCTAGGGGGAAAGGCAGAATCCAATGCAGTGTGGCCTGTTAACAGTGGCTCCAGGCCTTGCCAGCTATCCAGAAGGAGCTACTGAAAGCTTCCCTGATCCTTCCTGCTGTTAGCAGTGCTGTTTAGACCCAGAATCCTCATGGTTTGTCTGTGATTCATCCAAAGCAGAGATACCTGCATGAGTAGAATCAGGGAAACTTGTGACTCCCTAAGAATAGGCATGGGCCTGAGATCTGGGGAATGATGGAGACCAGAGATGATGGAGACCAGGTTGTGACTTGGGGCCCCAGGTATGGGACTACGGTAGTAGAAACAGTTCCTTCCCCTGTGCCTACAGGTGTTTGGCCATGGGAAAGCAAATGGTGAGCCAACATGGGCACTCCTTCTGACAGCGCTCATCGCAGAACTGGGCATCCTCATTGCCTCCCTTGACATGGTGGCACCTATTCTATCCATGTGAGTAGGGAACAGGGCAAGGATGGTCTTGGGAAAAGCTCCTTGAACTTCAAAAACTCAGCTGGGGCTCCAGCACCTCCCAATGATCCTGTCTGGTTTCTAGGGTGCCACTGGAAAACTGGCTGGGCTTTGTGGGGAGCTGGCAGGGCTCAGCTTACCCTGCTTTCAGAAGCCAGCTTGGCACTAGGCCCCATGCCTCATGGTGGGAGACTCCACAGAGCAGAAGGCCAACAGATCCACATTCCAGCAGGGCAGGCACCTGGTCCCTTTTGTCTTACTGAAGCAACTACTGCCCATTCATCATTTTCAAAGTTGCTTACTTTGAAAGTCCTAGAAGCAGCTGAGGATATAAGTGTGCCAGTGATGCTCACCATGATTCCCAAGGCTCCCTGAGGCAGTTTGTTTATTTCCTATGTTTACCTCTACCCAGGTTGAGATCCTTACTCATTCTGCTCCATGGCTGATAGTCCTTGCTTGTTCAGTTCTGAAGGGCCTACATTCACTACCCACCCAGTTTATAGGCCTAACGGAGCTGCCTTCCTCCTGAGCAGGCTCCACCCCTGCCCATAGGCCTGTCACATCAGAGCTCCCTTGTCTTCTTGCTCTCCCCATTTCCCATAGAAGTGCACACCTCAAACTATTCTCGCCACAGGTGTATCAATAGGCAACCCCTCTTGTCTAAGTTAGAGGAAATGGTTCAGCCTTTGTCATGTGGCTCTTGCTGGCCATCCCTTCTGGGACTTACCCCCTTACAGGCATCCCTGCCCTCTGATACTCTTTGCCTGTTCTTCATCACTGAGGGAGAGTTTGCTGCCTCTAGCTTCAGCCCTCTGTTCTAAACTGACTCCTCAGGAGGGCTTACACAGCCAGCCTTGCCTGTGTCCTAACTCCCACACAGCACAGCATCTCCTGTTTCTTAACCTCAGACCAAAATTTACTTGGTCCTTGTCATCTTTTTCTGACTTGCTCTCCCTGATCCTCAAATGCATGACAGCCCCACCCTACCCACCTGCTTACTCGGGCCACATCTCATCATGTCATCATCTCTCACACCAGGCACTCCCCAGCATTCCTTCACACTGTCCTCTTGCAGCTCTCCACTCGCTATCCCTGGACTTTGTCCCTTTCCTACCTCTTCTGCTGGTCAGTACTTGCCCATCCTCTGCCACTTGGCTCTTAGGACATTTTGGGAATAGTTCCATCTGCATCAGACCACAGGAGTGGGTTCCTAGGGGTTAGGAACCATGGTATGGCCCAGTTTGTATTCTAAGTATAGCCTGTTATCAGGCACCTAGAGGTACCAAAGGGGCTGGCTGTGCACCAACCACCTCCTGGTGCCACAGGTTCTTTTTGATGTGTTACCTGTTTGTGAACCTGGCCTGTGCTGTGCAGACACTCCTGAGGACTCCCAACTGGCGGCCCCGATTCAAATACTATCACTGGTGAGTACCCGCTGGACCCGAGGCAAGTTCCCCAGCATGGGGGGTATTGGGGAGGCCAGGAGCCCCATACCAGAAGTCTTGCATTTCCTGGGAAGCTTTTGATCTTGGAAATACTATGAAGAGGGAGATTATGGGACTGGAAGCCTTGACCTGCTCCTTGTGCCCAGCTTGTGACTTGTGATCTGTGTGGGTCAGGACAGCATGGGACAGACTGTGGCCTGGAGCCCTTATTCTTATGCTCTCCACCTCCGGCCCAGGGCACTGTCCTTCCTAGGCATGAGCCTCTGCCTGGCCCTTATGTTTGTCTCCTCCTGGTACTACGCATTGGTTGCGATGCTCATCGCAGGCATGATCTACAAGTACATCGAGTACCAAGGGTGAGCAAAAGGCTGCAGTCAGCCTGTTAACAGCCTGTCCGGCACTGTGGGTATCTGAATGGTGGGTTGGTGGAGGACTGGGCCACCTTTGCTTCTACCATGGGTGCTTGGAGGGGTGCATAAATGGGGACAGCTGCGACTCAGGGCTTGGCCAATTTCTATCCTATATGCACATAGAAATACCTAGGTAAGGAGCTGGGGTGTAGTTCAATGATAGAGCACTTGCTTAGCATTCAAATGAGGGAAGAAGGGAAGACCGGAGAGAGCGGAAAAGGGAAGGAGGAAAATCTGGCTGAGACAATGGGCTCAATTGCTTGTGGTGACATCTATAGGGCTGAGAAGGAATGGGGTGATGGGATTCGAGGCCTGTCCCTGAGTGCTGCCCGATATGCATTGTTGAGGCTGGAAGAGGGGCCTCCTCACACCAAGAACTGGCGGTAAGTTCATGCCCATACGAACAGGGATCATCTAGGGTTTAGGGAGCATTGTTGAGGGTGCGAAGTTCCATAGGTTCCCTCCAGGAGGTTGTAAGAGGCACCCTTTTAGCTGGGTGTGGTGGCTCACGCCTTTAGTCCCAGCAAAGACAGGTGGGTCTCTGAGTTCAAGGCTAGCCTGCTCTACATAGTGAGTTCCAGGCCAGCTGGGGCTACAGGGAGACCCTGTCTCAAAAAAGAAAAAAGAGGCACCCTTTTGCTTGTTGAGCCCTTGGATTTATACTACCCAAACTTGTGGGAGCCCACATTCTGTTAAGGGAAGACCCCTTGGAAAGGCCTGGCCCTTGTCTCAAGCTGCCTAACCATCTGACCACTTTAGGCCTCAGCTCTTGGTGCTGCTAAAGCTAGATGAAGACCTTCATGTGAAGTATCCTCGGCTCCTCACCTTTGCCTCCCAGCTTAAGGCTGGGAAGGGCCTGACAATTGTTGGCTCTGTCATCCAAGGCAGCTTCTTGGAGAGCTATGGTGAAGCCCAGGCTGCTGAGCAGGTAATTGCCAGGAAGGGGCGGGAAGGGGGTTGCCAAGCCAGATCAATGGTTTCTGGGCTACAGCTGGCTTGTAGTGGAGGGACAAATTCTGAACAGTATGGCTAGCCAGATGGACAACACTGCTACCATCTTCAAGAATGAGAGCATAGCTGCCTCATCTTAAAAATATGGTCTGTGGGTCAGCAAGATGCCTCAGCAGGTAGAGATGCTTGTACACAGGCTTGATGACCTAAGTTAAATCCCCAAATCCTACAAAGTGGCAGAAAGAGCCCATTTCCAAGAGTTGTCCTCTGTTCACCACATGCTGTGGCATGGACAGCACATGCACATACAAAATACATACACACATAAAATTTAGGAACCTGCTGGGCGTGGTCCTAGCACTCAGAGGCAGAGGCAGGTGGATCTCTGTGAGTTCAAGGCCAGCTGGGGCTACAGGAAGACCCTGTCTTAAAAAAAAAAAGACCAAAAATAAAAAAGTTAGAAACGTATGGGTGGGCAGCTTGCTCCAGGGCCTCTTCTACTAATCCTAGAATTTTGGAAGAGAACCCAACAGAGGGAAAAGCTGGTGGCCTTACCTTCTAACTCTGGTGTATTCTCCACAGACAATCAAGAACATGATGGAGATTGAGAAAGTTAAAGGCTTCTGCCAGGTAGTGGTGGCCAGCAAAGTGCGTGAGGGGCTGGCCCACCTCATCCAGTCTTGCGGCCTGGGCGGCATGAGACATAACTCCGTGGTGCTGGGCTGGCCCTACGGCTGGCGACAGAGTGAGGACCCACGTGCCTGGAAGACCTTTATTGGTGTGTGAGGGTCTGGCACCTGACCTGGGCCAGGGGCCAAGGGCCAGGGTTAAGTGAGGTGGCAGAGACTGGAGGGCCATAGGCTGGCAGTCAGTAGTACCCCTCCTCCCCAGACACTGTGCGCTGTACCACAGCTGCCCACCTGGCCCTGCTGGTGCCCAAGAACATAGCTTTCTACCCCAGCAACCATGAACGCTACCTGGAGGGCCACATTGATGTGTGGTGGATCGTGCACGACGGAGGCATGCTTATGCTTTTGCCCTTCCTGCTACGCCAGCATAAGGTGTGCCAGGTGGTTGGGCATGGATGGGGCGTGGTGGTTGGGCACCTGGGCGAGTTAGGTGTGACTGAACCATTCCCCTACTCCATTACCACAGGTTTGGAGGAAGTGCCGGATGCGCATCTTCACTGTGGCCCAGATGGACGACAACAGCATCCAGATGAAGAAGGATCTGGCCATCTTCCTGTATCACCTCCGCCTTGAGGCAGAAGTGGAGGTGGTAGAGATGGTGAGCTGCCTGCCCTTTTGTGGCCCTGGAGGATCCCAACTACCATATAGCCCAATGCTCACAATCTCCTGTCTCCCCAGCATAACAGTGACATCTCTGCATATACCTATGAGCGCACACTGATGATGGAACAGCGGTCTCAGATGCTGCGGCAGATGAGGCTGACCAAAACTGAGCGGGAGCGAGAGGTCAGTGACTGTCTTGGTTTAGGCTTGGGGAAGGGGCTGGATCAGGCCTTTGGAGATACTGTCAGGTAGGGGTAGCAGAATGACTCACTTGACCAAGCATGGTGGCTCATAGTTGTAATCCCAGCACTCAGGAGGCTGAGGCAGGAGGATTGCCGTAAATTTGAGGCCAGCCTGGGCTACAATATGAGATCTTGTTTTTTTCTTTGAAAAAAGAAAAAAAGCTGTGGGGCTGGTGAGATGACTCAGTGGTTAAGGGTACTGGCTGCTTTTACAGAGGACCAGAGTTTGATTCCCAGCACCCACATGACTGCTAACAACTGTCGGTAACTTCAGTTCCAGAGGAATCTGATGCCCTCTTCTGATCTCTGCAGGCAGTACACAACACGGGTGCACTTAACACACACAGGCAGTACATTCATACACAGAAAATAAAAATAAATATATATATTTTTAAAGCTGGATATAGTAGCTCGTGCCTATAATCCCAGTACTTGGGATCACTTTACCAGACATGGTGGCTCATACCTGTAATCCCAGCACTCAGGAGGTTGAGGTAGGAGGATTGCCATAAATTTGAGTCCAACCTGGGCTACAGTGTGAGATCTTTTTTTCTAAAAAAAAAAAAAAGCTGGTCACCAGGCGTGGTGTCACACGCCTGTAGTCCCAAGCACTCGGGAGGCAGAGGCAGGCGGATCTCTGTGAGTTCAAGGCTAGCCTGGTCTACATAGTGAGTTCCAGGACAGCTGGGGCTTACAGGGAGACCCTGCTTCAAAAAGACCAAAAAAAACAAAACAAAAAGCTGGTCATAGTAGCTCATGCCTATAATCCCAGTATTTGGGAGGCTGACACAGGAGGATCATACAGAATTTGAGGCAAGCCTGGACTGAGTGAAAACCTGTCTCAAACAAACAAAAAAACTTCACTTGTCCTACCTGAACTAGTCAATGTCTATTCCCCAGAGGCAGGGTGGTCATGTAGGGCCCACCAGGCCCTCATTTTCTCAGGGCACCGAGGCTGCCTTCTCTGGTTGTCCTCAGGCCCAGCTGGTAAAGGATAGACACTCAGCCCTGCGGCTGGAGAGCCTTTACTCAGATGAGGAAGATGAGTCTGCAGCAGGGGCTGACAAGATCCAGATGACATGGACACGAGACAAGTACATGGCTGAACCCTGGGACCCCAGCCGTGCCCCTGACAACTTCCGGGAACTGGTGCACATTAAGCCGTGAGTGTAGACCCAGTCATTCTGAGATCTAGAATAAAGGTGGGGTGGGGGCAAGCAAGCTGTGCGGGCCAGGGACAAAGCCCATTTTGCTAGGTGGTTCTCAGTGGCCTGTGATCAACTGCATTATCTGCAGGGACCAATCCAACGTGCGGCGTATGCACACTGCCGTGAAGCTCAATGAAGTCATTGTCACACGCTCCCATGATGCCCGCCTGGTCCTACTGAACATGCCAGGCCCACCCAAGAACAGCGAGGGTGATGAAAACTGTATCTTTTTGTGGAAAGGCTGACAGTGGGAAGCCATCCTCTCCCTGGGTGTCCCTGGGTGGGAAGTGGCCCCTGTTGCCCCTTGATCCTGTAGCTCGCTGTCTCCTTGACCTAATGCCCTAGACATGGAATTCCTTGAGGTGCTGACTGAGGGCCTTGAGCGGGTGTTATTAGTGCGAGGCGGGGGCCGTGAAGTCATTACCATCTACTCCTGAGTCCGATGAAGGCTTGTGGCCTGGAGTTGGGGTGTACAGTCCAGGGCAACAGTTCATAATCCACACCTACTTGCCAGTTATTATGCTTTGCCCAGTTTTGCCTTGGACCAGTTTTGCTAGGTCTTCTGGGAAATCAAGCTTGGGCCTGACAGTGGAAATGGATCTGAGGACCTGTGGACCCTGGAGGATTTGGAGACTTTCCCCTCCAGTACCCCAGTGTGGGCCAACCCTGACTAGAGAAAACTGGTGGGGGCTGATACGGAATTTGAAGTCCCAGCCTGGCCCAGAAATGCTATTTATTGTATATTTATTGTTTGAATGTCACCATCAGAGAAGAGAGGAAGGGCAGCAAGGGAGGGAATTGAGCCTGACCTGCCTACAGGAAGACCTGGCTCAGCCTGCTGTGGGCAGAGACCCACCAAGTCAAGTGGAATGGAGCTGGCTGAGCTGAGCCTGAGTTTTTCAATAAAACATTGTGTACTTCTGGGCCTCCTGCTGCCTCATCTGTTTCCCCCTGGCGCCAAGGGAAGAAAGGCAGAACTGAACCCAAGCCCAGAGCTGGCTCCCTGAGGCTGTGCCCCTTCCTGGCAGTGGTAATCTCTGGCCACCCCCATTAGCTGTTCTGTCCCTCCCACTAGCCCTAGGGCCCCTCCCATCCCCATTCCAGATAAGGCCAGACCAGGACTGCCTCATCTGGCAGTAGGCACTAGGCTGGAATGGGGCTGCCTGGCTCCCCATTGCAGTGGGTGCTGTTGCTGCTGGGGCTGCTGCTCCCTCCTGTCGCCCCCTTTTGGCTCCTCAATGTGCTCTTTCCCCCGCACACTACGCCCAAGGCTGAGCTCAGTAACCACACACGGCCTGTCATCCTAGGTAAGCCCCCACTAGGACCCTGCTACACCAGGCAAGAACTTGGGGAGCTTGGGTCCCAGCCCCTGACAGCAGCAGCAGATGGTGCCAAGGCCTTTCTGCTCCAACACTAGCCCCCAGGTCTGACTTGGAGTGGGGAGGGGCCAAAGATGTCCTATAGAGACATCACCCCTTCCCCCATCACATTGTTGTCTTGAGATGTCTACTCTAGAGGGGCCAGCAGGGAGTGGGGGAGGTGGTGGGATGAGATTTGCCTAAGGGCAAGATTTGACCAGGGCATTACAAGATACATTGGATCCTGGGTTAAGCCCCACTACATCTTCCTTGGCTCCTACCTCACCAAAGATGCCCAGCCCAGAGGAGGCCCATAAAGGCCTGCCCCCTACCCTAAACCCAACCTCCACTCCCCCATACCTATTTGTTGTCACCTTGGACTTTGGCAGTAATGGAAGGCCTAGCTGGATGTTTGCTTTTCAGGGGCAGGGGTCAGTGGCCTTGGTTCCTGCACCTTCCCCGACTAAAGGGAGCCTGGGCTTTGTGGTACTGCTAGGACAGTAAGGAGTGTGCTGGGGAAGAGGATAAATGTCATTTATCACCCATACCTTCAGGGTGTGGGAGATGGAAGGGTGGGTTGGTGTGAGGGTGGGGTCAGGGAGCAAAACCAAGGAGTCCAGAATGAGAGCTGGTGCCCACAGTGCCTGGCTGGATGGGGAATCGGCTAGAAGCAAAGTTGGATAAACCAGATGTGGTGAACTGGTTATGCTACCGCAAGACAGAGGACTTCTTCACCATCTGGCTGGATCTCAATATGTTTCTACCCCTTGGGGTGGACTGCTGGATTGATAATACCAGGTATGTCCCATAAGCTCTGCCTATCCCCTCCACATTGCCCCTTGGGCTACTGGTTGTTGACTGTTTCACTGTCCCCAGGGTTGTCTACAACCGCAGCTCTGGGCGTGTGTCCAATGCCCCTGGTGTACAGATCCGTGTCCCTGGCTTTGGCAAAACCTACTCTGTTGAGTACTTGGATAACAACAAGCTAGCAGGTGTGTGCACTCAGGCAGGCTGGGGCTCTGGTGGGCCATCAGGCTGGCCACAGGTGTCATAGGCAGAGCTCCTATGCTGCTCCCTCCGTGCAGGTTACATGCATACATTGGTGCAGAATCTCGTCAACAACGGGTATGTTCGCGATGAGACAGTACGGGCTGCACCCTATGACTGGCGTCTGGAACCCAGTGAGTGACTTCTGGTGATGGGCTAGGGGTAGAGCAAGTGGTCCCAGACCCTAACTGTCCTGACCTATCCACCCATCTGCAGGCCAACAGGATGAGTACTACCAGAAGCTGGCAGGGCTGGTAGAAGAGATGTATGCTACTTACGCGAAGCCTGTCTTCCTCATCGGACACAGCCTTGGCTGCCTGCATTTGCTCTATTTCTTACTGCATCAACCTCAGTCCTGGAAGGACCATTTCATTGATGGCTTCATCTCTCTTGGGGCTCCGTGGGGTGGCTCTATCAAGCCCATGCTGGTCCTGGCCTCAGGTGAGGAGCCTCTCACCTTACTGCCCATCATCTGGTGGGCAGTAAGGAAGGAATGAAGCAGATCACTGAGCTGGCACTCCAACTGCTCACAATGGTTGTCTGGAGACAGTGTCTCTGGGACACACCTGCTTTCTGTTAGCTCCTTGAAAGCAGTGACCTTGGCAGGGCTGTTAGGATGACTCCTTCCAGAGTCTATATCAGCGAATGGAAGGAAACAGAGGAAACCAACCCCAGATTTGTTCCTTGTGGCCCCAGGTCTCATACACTTCAGCTTTCAGCTACTTTCTACTCCCAGAAGCCGCTGTGCAGAGGAATCTGCCATATTGAGGGCATTTGCCACAGCAGCACCAACCCTAGGGATCCCTCCTGCCCTTCCTGAGGAGTAGCCCCAGAAACCCAGCACTAACACAGCTATCACTAATTGAACACCACTGTATGCTGGGCACAACCAGGCTTAGCCTTCCCCACAGAAGTTCACAATCTAATGAAAGAGAGACTCACCACCGATGGTAAAACAGACCATCATTTCGTTCTCCCAAAATATAATCCTGTGACCCCTGTGCAACATGAGCCCCATACGGGGCCTGAGGGAGAATAGCCAGTGCACATGTACACACAATTCACACATCCCATTCTCAGCAACACCCCTTCCCCCCACATTTTTTGAGACCCTACAGCTCTGCCTTACAGAGATACCAACATAGCTCTCCTTTAATAAGCATATTCAGCACTTAATATCAGACCTGCTCTGTTCTATGGCTTGGAATCACAGTCTGGATGGGGAAGGGACAAGTTTGAGTATTGTACTATCTCACCTTGCTATGTCCACAGGTGACAACCAGGGCATCCCACTCATGTCCAGTATCAAGCTGAGAGAGGAACAACGCATAACGACGACTTCTCCCTGGATGTTTCCAGCCCACCAGGTATGGCCTGAAGACCATGTGTTCATTTCCACACCAAGCTTCAACTACACAGGTCATGACTTCAAGCGCTTTTTTACGGATCTGCATTTTGAGGAAGGCTGGTATATGTGGCTACAGTCACGTGACCTACTGGCAGGCCTCCCAGCACCTGGTGTGGAAGTATACTGTCTGTATGGTGTGGGCCTGCCCACACCCCACACCTACATCTATGACCACAATTTCCCCTACAAAGACCCTGTAGCTTCGCTGTATGAGGATGGTGATGACACAGTGGCTACACGAAGCACTGAGCTCTGTCGCCGGTGGCAGGGCCACCAATCCCAGCCTGTACACCTGCTGCCCATGAATGGGACACAACACCTCAACATGGTCTTCAGCAACACAACACTGGAGCACATCAACACTATCCTGCTGGGTGCCTACCGCCATGGCACTCCTGTATCCCCAGCTGCCAGCCCAGTGCCCCTACCCTCTGAATAAAGACCTTTGCTGTTGTAAGCCCTGTGTGTTGTGGGTTAAGGGGAAGGCACTACTAGGGTCCCTACACTCGGAATCCTATGTTACCAGGTCCAGGACTCAGTGGGACCTGAGGTAGGAAAGGCTCTGCTAAGGCCTGAGTTGGAACTGAACATCCTGAGATGTGCAGCTGTTCAGGAAGCCTGCCCTATGCTGCTTCTGCTGGGCCTGGGGGCTGGAGCTAGCTGTACCCACAGCTGCAGAATGGGGCATAAGGAAATACAATTTGAAATAGTCTCTTAATTTCTGGTTGGATACAAGAGCCTAAAATATGGCCAGGCATAGTGGCCATGCCTTTCATCCCAGCACTTGGGAGGCAGAGGAAGGCAGATCTCTGTGAGTTAAAGGCCAGCCTGGTCTACATAGCGAGTTTCAGGTCAGCTGGGGCTACAGGGAGACCCTATCTCAAAAAGACCAAATATATACATACATATAGGGACCTTCTATAGTCTTGCAGGTTTTTACTTGCTCAGGCAGGTGGTGTTTTGTTTACCTCAGGAGTCTTGTTGGCCTCTCCCTCCCTTCTTCAGGGAATGTTTCTTTTGGTGGAATCTGCTATACAACTCACTGTCACTGGTGAGATGACTTCCAGAAAGTCTCTACTTCTATCTGGGGATTGATACCAGGCTGACTATGGTGGAAGCGAAGGCTGGTTAGTATGGAGGAATAAGGGCAGAGCCTGGCAACTTAATCATTTAACACCTTCCCCTGAGCCTGAGAGTTTACTGAAGTACTGATCATCTGGGCCACCTTTTCAATACTTGTGGTAATATGTTGACACATGGACCTTCGTTTTTAGCATCTTTATCTAGTTTTAAATTTTTTAATGTGCTCCTTTAAAACAGGACTTTGCGAAAGTCTTCCTGTTTCCACTCCCTGCATCCTTTCCCTTAACATTTGCTAGTGATGTTTATTGTTTCTTGTTGTTCCCTTCCCCCTCACACATGCCTCCCCCCAGTCTCCTGGCTTCTTACATCAGTACATGAGGCTCTAGTTCATTTCTTTTAATGACTGTGTGGTATTTTACACTGTAGTGAATCTTTTGGTGTGGACATTTGTTATCTTTAAATAATGTCACAGTATTCTATTTATATTGGTTTCATGTACTTTAATGTTTCTTCATGGGGATTTCTCAATTGATAGATTGACCTACTATGAAGAAAGCTTGTTCAAATAGTATGAAATTCCCTATTTTCCTACTGGGGTCCCCCGGGTTCTTCTAAGGATCTGGAAAGAGGAGCTCAGGCTTCTTACTGCCAACACGCGCTTGAAGTGAGAAAGCAGCTCGGGTAGGACCCAGCCTGCCTTTCCTCGCCTTTCAACACTCAGGGAAACAAGAGATTAAGCTCAACACATCCCGTGGTCCCCTAATACTCAACTCCTAAGCAAAATGGAAAACTGAAACTCCTGTGGGATTACAAAAACTGACACTAAAATACTTCTTGAAAGGTAATAACAGATCTAAAAGGATTAATTAATTTATTTTTTGAGACAGGACCTCACTCTCTATAACCCATACTGGAAACAATCCTCCTGCCTCAGTCTCCTGGGTGCTGTGATTAAAGGTGTGCATACCACAATTTAATTTCCTTTTTTTTCTTCAGGGCTAGGAATCAAGGCCAGGGCCTTGTCCTTAGGCAAGTACTCTACCATAAAGCTAAATCCCCAGCCCAAGTTGCCCTCCTTAAGAGAGGGAAGACGCAAGGGTTACCAATCACTGTTTGAGGTCTCTAGGTGGCAAAGGCAACGAAAGAGGAATTGAGGAAAAGTGACAAAGGACCAAACTCAGCCAAGCCTCACCTACTGGAAAGTCAGTACCTGGCCCTGTGTTCCACAGCTTTAGAGCACTGGCATGGAGGTGGGGTTCAGGTAGGAGTTGGAGGGGTGGAGGTAGGTGTAGGACTGGAAGGGGATGAAGGAGCTAAACAATGGCTAGAGGGGAAGGATTTGTCCCTGGGTTGGGAAAAGATCTGGGGAGCGGCAAGGAGGGCCTGGCGAAGGGCACCAACCCCTTCCCCAAACTACCTGGGACTAGAAGCAAAGGTGAAAGTGAAAGAAAGTTGCAGCAACAACCTCTGAACTAGGGTGGAGGTGAAAGCGAAAGCGAGAAGCGTTACCCCCCCCCCCCCCGGCCGATCAGCGATCAGCTCCTCGGAAGCCTGGACGCCTTTCTGCTGCCCCTGGCCCCACTTGTGTGATCCACCCATCGACCCCCAGATCCCAATTCGACCTCCTTGCCCCGAGATGCTGAAGCCGGCCTTGGAGTACAGAGGAGGCTTCTCCTTCGAGAACTGCCAGAGGTGAAGGAGTGGAGTTCTAGCTGCGAGCTGCCTGTGCTTTGCTGTGGGCCGTCTCTTTTTTTCACTGGCGGCGGTGGGGGTGGGGGGAGCCCGTGTTGGGCAACGAAATTGGGCTTAACCCAGATGGAGACTGAGTTGGGTTCGGGGGACGAGTTCAAGGGACCCTAGAAGCAGATCTGAAACCAGTCACCCGACCCTGTTTCTAGGAATGTAGCTTTGGAAAGAGACCTTCCGGGACTCCAGGTCCCTCATGCACGCAAGACTGGAACCACCATCGCGGGACTCGTGTACCGAGTGAGCGGGTGATGGGACTGGAGGGCAGGAAGGGTAGCCAACCGGGAGGAGGTGGAGGGCACTGAGGCCCGGCTCTTCCTCAGGACGGGGTCATCCTGGGCGCGGATACGCGGGCCACTAATGATTCGGTCGTGGCGGACAAGAGCTGCGAGAAGATCCACTTCATCGCCCCCAAAATCTAGTGAGAACCCTTCAGCCCAGTTCCCACTCAGGAAAGCCGCCCCGACGCCCCACCCTGCACATCTTAGCCCTGTCCACACCGACCCTCCCATTTCCCCCAGCTGCTGTGGGGCTGGAGTGGCTGCGGACGCCGAGATGACCACGCGTATGGTGGCGTCCAACATGGAGCTGCACGCGCTGTCCACCGGCCGCGAGCCTCGGGTAGCCACCGTCACCCGCGTCCTGCGCCAGACGCTCTTCCGGTGCGGGGGAGGAGCTAAGGAGATCCCCGGAGGGGCAGCTGCAGGGTGGGCGGGGCCAATAGTAAGTGGGCAGAAAGAAAGAGTAGGCTGGACCAGCAGAGAGACCGGAAGAGGCCGGCCTAACCAAAGCTGAGCAACAGAAAGGGACAACGTCAATTGTAGGGCGCCAGGCCGCAGGAAGGGGTGGGACGCAGACCTAAGAGCAGTTTTGCAAGGGGCGGAGCCTGGCTACAGGTGACAGTGACTGTGCTCACTTGTCCACAGGTACCAAGGCCACGTGGGAGCATCCTTGATCGTGGGCGGTGTTGACCTGACTGGGCCGCAGCTCTATGGCGTGCACCCCCACGGTTCTTACAGTCGTCTGCCCTTCACGGCCCTGGGTGAGCGCTTCCACCCTTTTCCTACGTAGCAACCCCTTCCCCTGTGACCCTATCCTCACGTTTGTCCTCTAGATGGGGCTGCTGCAGCAGACCTCAGATGCCCTTTCCCACCTGTAGGCTCTGGACAGGATGCAGCCTTGGCACTGCTGGAGGACCGGTTCCAGCCAAATATGACGGTGAGCGATTTCTGTCCCCTACTTCATGCTCACTGGTGGGGAATGCATAAGGATCCTGGCCAAGTATAGAAGTAAGGAAGGCTTGTTGGAAGGTGACCACCGAGTAGGGACTGAGTAATGAGAGAGAAGTGAGGTTCAGACAGTACTGAAGCTTAGACCACAGAAAGAAGTTCACAAAGACTCATTAGCCAAATAAAGAGGAGAAGCCCAGTTGAATGGTATGTGAGACCTGAAGCCTGGACTTTGGAGTGGGAGGGAAGTGGATGACTGGACTTCAGAGATATCTAAGGCCCAGAGAGAAAATCAATGATAGAGGATTAGTGGATGGGCAGGCTTCTGGAAGAAGCCTATAAGAAGAACTATAAGCAACTCTGAGAAGATTGTGCAGCAGACAGTGGGTGGACGGAACACAGGGTCTTGGGGGGAGAGGGAAGCAGAACCCAGGGGAAGGAAATTTGGGATGGAGGGAGAGAATGGAGGTTGGGTTTGCACAAATGGTAAATCATCCCGGCTTCAAGATTAACAAAGTCCCCAGGCTGGAGCCTGAGTTAACGCCAGAGGGTCCATTACACCTCATTCACATACCACAGCTGGAAACCGCAAAGGAGCTGCTAGTGGAAGCAGTCACTGCAGGGATCCTGGGTGACCTGGGCTCTGGGGGCAGTGTGGATGCATGTGTGATCACTGCAACCGGTGCCAAGCTGCTGAGAACACTGAGCTCACCTACAGAGCCTGTGCAGAGGTAGGAGCAGGAAATGCCTAGGGGGTCTGCTAGAACAGGACAAGCTGCATGCTGAACGGCTGTCCCTCCTCCCTTCTAGAGCTGGCCGCTACCACTTTGCACCTGGAACCACAGCTGTCCTTACCCAGGAAGTGAGGCCCCTAAACCTGGAGCTCCTGGAGGAAACTGTGCAAGCCATGGAAGTGGAGTAGAGTGGCCTGAGGCTTAGAGCTTGGAACAAGGGGGAATAAATCCAGGAGATACAAACAGAACACTGTGTCTTGAGTGGAGCAGAACAAGCAGTCATGGGGCTCTGTGACTAAGGTATCCATGCAAGAACCACTGCCTCCCACAGGTCCAATTCCTGGCCTGAGGTGTGAATCTCAGTCATAGCCAAACTCCTAAACTTTCTAACTCCAGACAGATCATTCTCACCCCAACACCCCTGCTATGAAAGACCCCATGGTCAATTCCTATTCAGTGCCTTTACCTGGCTTATCAGTGACCTAGGAAAAAGCCTCATTCTAGGACAAAGGCACATTCTCTAAAGAGATTCTCCTGAAGACTAGACATCCCTGGTGGCCCCCACTTGTGTTCCCCCTAACACATTATGAACATTTTTATATACAACAGGAAAGTTAAAGGAATTGCACACTGAACATCCATATGTCCAATAGACTTTACAATTCATTTTGTTGTATTTGATCATATGTATATCCATTCCTCCATGTCTCCATCAGGCCCACCCTGGGTCCCATGAGGGCTAAAGTACTGAGAGAGGAATTGTTTCCTGATTCTTAAGGACAAGTTCTTATCAAGTACTCCTCACACATCCATCTACAATGCCTCTACCTGTAACATTCATCAGATGATCAGGCACTTGTGAGCCACTGATACAAATGTTGGCTTTGTCTGCAACATGCGGGGCTGTGAAAAGGGATACTGACTCCAAGTTCTCTGGCTGGAAGAGTACATGGACTCATGGGGAGAGAGGACACATTTACATAAGAATCTTATGCTGAGCACTGAGTGCCAGGCCTAGGTGCTGGGTGCTGGTATGAATATCCTGCCCTCTGAGTAGCCAAGTTCCACTGGGGCTTCAAGAACTGGTAAGTCACATTCTCTAAAGAAATTCTCCTGCAGACTAGACATCCCTTGTGGCCCCCACTGTGTTCCCCCTAATATATTATGAATATTTTTATATATACAGGAAAGTTAAAGAAATTGCACACTGAACATCCATATATCTACTAACTTTACAATTCATATTATGTTGTATTTGATCATATGTCTATCCATTCCTCCATACTTCCATTTACCTCACTGTTTGGACCAAGGTGTTTTTGAGCCAATCAAAGCCCTCACACCCCTGAAAGTCCAGCCAACTCGTTACAACTGCACACCGAAGCATCTTCTCTCCATTGGTTCAAGCTCAGCCTAGAGCTCAGTAACAAGGGAGCTGTAGATACCAGGGCTTGCCCATGGCAGTCTGAGGCTTGGAAGCAGTCAGCTTTACTGGTTGCTGCCCTTCTACCTGCAACTTCAGTCCAGAGGCTTCCAGTCAATGAGGGCTACACTTATCAATAATGTGGGGCCCAGAGCCAGCCAGGGTTTGGGTCCCACCCCATTTCATGCTGGTGGGAGCATCAGCATCTCTGAGCAAACCTCTGACTCCTGTTCCAAAGTGATGAGGAATCCTTGAGATAATGTCTGTTAGGATTTACAACCTCCATCCATGGCCTTCCACTGCAAAGCTGGCCACATCTGGCTTCCACCAGCCTTAACACCCCTATGCTCTGAGCAGCCTTCTTTGAGAGCCAAGTATCCTTGATAGCCCTGGGAAACTTCTTTGGTCCCAGTCCCCAGGCTGACACTTCAGTAGACCTAATCAACCATATGTCTTTGGTACCCAGTGATCAACATTGGGGTGTGAGGTAGTTCAGAAAGCCAATCAGAAACCAAGGCTTGGGGAGGTGGAGGTGAGAGCCTCACACCTGGGCTATGCCTGATAATTCCAAGGACTTTGGCCTACTCCCAGGTGGGTATGGGAGTGGGACGAGACCACACAGCTGGCCTGGTCTCAGGCCCAAGGCTTAGGCCCAAGGACAAAGATACACATAAATAAAGCCAGGCTGTTCTCAACTCTGTTCACATCTTCCACAATGCTACTACTCAGCCTAACCCTTAGCCTGGTCCTCCTTGGCTCCTCCTGGGGTGAGTGGGCTGGGATCAATCATGACTGAACAACCAAAGGCAACTTAGTTCCCAGCTCATCCAGAGGCCTAGAGAAGGAACCAGCCTCATCAGAAGGGATGTGTGGACAAAGGAAAATTGATGTACCAAGGCAGAAGGTGTGAGCCTGCAGGGCTGGAAGTGAGGAAAGATGAATATAGGGACAGGTCTCACAAATAAGACAGGAACCTGAGCTAGACCTGAGAGAGCTTAGGAAGCCATAAAAGTGGTATGTGGCAAAGCCTAGTCTAGGTGGAGCCCTCTGGGTGCATGAAAGGTATTAACTGCTCAGGCCTTGAATGGGCAAAGGACTAAGGAGGAGATGATAACAGCAATCAGGGAGAAAAGTGGTCTAAGGAACACTGTCGGGTAGATGTTAAGGAGTGGACAGGATTTGGGGGGTGGTTGGGTGAGGGTAATAGAGATAGCTCTGTAGGCCCAAAAGGCACTCAAAGGGAAGGGTTACTAGCTCTGTTGATTTTGACCCCTCTGGGATGTACAGCTTTGGAGCACCTGGGGAAAAGATGTGGGGAGAGGTGGGCTGGGATGTGGAGCCTCACCAGTCCTATGTCCAGGCTGTGGTGTTCCTACCATCTCACCTTCACTGAGCTACAGCCAGAGGATTGTCAATGGGGAGAACGCAGTGCCAGGCTCCTGGCCCTGGCAGGTGTCCCTGCAGGTACACGTACCCTATGGGCAGGGTAGGGTCCTGGGTGCTTTATATCTACATGTAACTTAAGGCCTACCCACATATGACTTTTGACCCTAGGATAGAAATGGCTTCCACTTCTGTGGTGGTTCTCTCATCAGCCAGTACTGGGTGGTCACTGCTGCCCACTGCGATGTCAGGTGAGTGTATTCCACCTGCTCTACCCAGTCTAATTCTTCCACTTCCTTCCCTTGGTACACCTCTTGCTCTGCACCCCACAGCAGCTGCCTAATCCCCTTATCCTTGCAGTCCTGGCAGTAACTTTGTCGTCTTGGGAGAATACGACCGATCGTCCAATGCTGAGCCTGTGCAGGTGCTATCCATCTCAAAGGTGAGTGCCTGGCTGCATGTGTGGGAAGAAAAATGAACTGTGGGTGGGCTACTTTGGGCACAAGAATTCCAGCATGCCCTGAGCCATCTGACTCAGCACAACCTTAGATGCCTCTACTCACCCCAACCATACACAGCTCCTTCCTGGTCCCACAGGCCATTACACACCCCAACTGGAACCCCACCACTCTGAACAATGACATGACCCTCCTGAAGCTTGCCTCACCAGCCAGGTACACAGCACAAATCTCACCAGTCTGTCTGGCTTCTTCAAATGAGGCTCTGCCTCAAGGTCTCACATGTGTCACCACTGGCTGGGGCCGCATCAGTGGCGTGGGTAAGAACTTGGGTAAGAGCTGGGGGAGAGGGGGTCAAGTATCCTGGGCCAGCCTAACCACCCTTTCCTGGTCCACAGGCAACGTGACACCAGCACGTCTCCAGCAGGTAGTTTTACCCCTGGTCACAGTGAATCAGTGCCGGCAGTACTGGGGTTCAAGTATCACTGACTCCATGATCTGTGCAGGTGGCTCAGGTGCCTCCTCGTGCCAGGTAAGCACAGGCACACTGCCCTCTACACTGACTCATGGAATACCTCTTCAAACTGCCAGGCTGACTTCTCCCTTTTCTCCCTTTCAGGGTGACTCAGGAGGCCCTCTTGTCTGCCAGAAAGGAAACACATGGGTGCTTATTGGTGTTGTCTCCTGGGGCACTAGTAACTGCAATGTGCAAGCACCAGCTGTGTACACCCGGGTTAGCAAGTTCAACACCTGGATCAACCAGGTCATAGCCTACAACTAAGCTCTCCACAGACCACTTCCCCATCTCGACTCAATAAAGACACCAGGCTCTCTTCTCTTGTGTACGCATGTCTGTTATCCTGGCTCAGGAGAAAGAAGGGCTCTTGAGAGTTCTACCCCTGACTTGGACATTGTCTTCTAGAACAGAAAGGGCTGTGACTCTTACCCCTGGGAAAATCCATTGGTTCTACAACAGAGTCAGGGTGGTCAGAACAAATGGCAGCCTTCCCTAGGGAGGGCAGCCTGTTTATTGGATACAGAAGATACATTTACAGAGTACACAAAATAAATAACCGCACATTCTCCATGGCATGAAGACCCAGTGGACCTATCAAAGGCCCAAGATGCTAAACTCCCTCCATTCTATCCTCAAGACCAGGCCTATCCCGGGCAAGAGAGAAAATAAATCCCCAGTGCTTCAGGCCCCCAGAGACACCTGGGGAATCAGTGGGTGGGAGAAGTCAGAGGCTGTGAGGCTTGGATTCTCCACTGCCTCCTGCCTAGGAGGCAATGAGGATATAAGGAAAGGGTGTCTAAGACACAGTTGACTTGGCACAGAGTGGTCTCTTTGGTTTGGTTTCCCACTAGAGGTGGCATATGCAGAAGGAGGGCCTAGCCCAAGGCTGCATACCGGGAGGAGCTGAGTGGGGGTCAGACTCTCCCTGCTGGCAGAGGCCCCAAGTCTAGCTAAGGCCCAAGCTAGATTCTGGACCCTTCCTACCCACTGAAAGCTGCTATAGAAGGAGGGAGCTTGAATTCCAGCCTAGTGTAGCAGTAGGGGAGACCATAATAGCCATAGGGACTGTTCTGGCTCAGTCCTCTGGGAAAGCAGCCCCCCAAGCCCACCCCACCTCCCCAAAAGGCTCCCTCCAACCTGAGACTCAGCGGGACCAGACTGGAAAGTTAATGCTGTGAAAGGAAATGGGCACAGGGCACACAGGGCATGGCCAGCTCCCACAGCAATGCCACCACCCAAGACACCCAGGGTTCAGAGGCAGGTAACACAGTATGGCTAAGTTCCAGGGAGAGGTGTGCAGAATCTGAGCAGAAGGGGAGTTGAGCAGCCCAAGACTCTCCCCCAATACAACTCCTTCCTTTCTTACTTTTGAAGGATTGTGGGTATGCAAAATGGTGTGCATCAATCACCCCCAGGCTGCCAATACCCAGAGTAGACACTAGATGGCGCCTTCATGAAGCTATAGAGGAAGGCATTGCAGCTTCTGAAAGGAAGAGCAAATGGCTAGTACCAAAGGATGGAACCAGGGCTGACAATGGAATGCTGAGGGGAACCCTCTGCCTCGATTCAGGTACACAAATCTCCCAGGTAGCAGCAATGGGGCTCCCTTTAACTCCCCACAGTTGGGGAGGAGGCAACTTGGGAATGAAATGGGTATCCAAATAGGAGAGGAAGACAACAGTGGACTCTGACAAAGACACTGAGGGTGACAGAAAGGCTCCCTCTCATAGAGAGGCTGAAGCCTGAGGCTAAGGCCCATGCTACAGTCCTATCACCAGAAATCCTGGCAAGTCTTGGGGCTTAGAAGGGATCTCTGGTGGCACCATGAAGGAAGACAGATCTTGACTTAGGAGGTACGGGTGGGGCTGCTTGGATCTAACTGGGGCTAAGGGTCCAATCAGGCACCTAGGGCCTGCAGTCTAGCAAAGGCCAAAGCTGGACCTCCCACTGGAGCATAATCTTAAGATCAGGATGGCATGGAATGTGGGAGCTAGATAGGAAAGCTTTGTGGAGGAAAGGAAGGTTATAAAAGTAATTGTCTCAAAGGGTGCTGGGCCATAGGACCCTCTCTACCCAGCACAGTATGCCCCTTTAATTCAAGAGCCAAAGGATAAGGGAACCAGTGGGGGCCAGGTCCTGCCCTTTCTCCAAACTCATATAGAGCAACCGCCTACCAGGTTCCTAATTCAGGTGGTGTAATAGCCCCCTAGGCCACCAGTACATCACAAGAGGCCCAGGCCCATGGGAGGAAATGGGGACTACTAAAGGCACAGAGAAGGACTGGGGCCAGATATACTCTACAAACTGCTGGCCATGAGGCCAAGCTCCAGAGAAGGTACTGGGCCCAGATAGCACAGCAGAGAGTGGTCAGGATGAAACTATGGAGTGTCCATGCCATAGCTGGTGGCTCAACCATTATACTGCTGCTGATAGCGCAGGTTGAGCTCACGCAGCTCACGTTCTCGAACACGGCGGGACTTGTTGGAGCGTGTGGAGCGGCTAGAACGTGTGGACTGGGCAGATTTGGTGCTCTGGCAACGTGAGGAAGCACGCTTGAGGAGATTCTGGGAGATGGATCGGTGAAGATTCTTCATGGATGAAGAGGCTGCCATGCTCACTACCCATGGATGTCTCAGGGCCTGCAATGCAGTCATCCGGGCTCCAGGGTCCACTGTCAGCAGGCGGTCAATGAAGTCCTTGGCCAGATTGGACACACTAGGCCAGGGCTAGAAACCAAGGGCAGGCATTAGTATGAAAGGATTCAACAGTACCTTCCCATCTGAATGATTCCAATACAGCACTGGGATCTGCATTTATACACTCCCTAGGGAAAGGCGGCACTTCTCCCATACAAAATACTGGTGTTCCTTCCCCTACCCCTCGATGCTGACCCAGGTTACCAAGATGGGCTGTTCTCTAGATGATGAGTCTAACAAGGAGGAAAGGGATCTTTCCTCTACCCTAAGGAGCAGTTTAAAAAAAAAAAATATGGGGCTGGAGAGATGGCTCAGTGGTTAAGAACACTGTTCTTGCAGAAGACCCGGGTTTGAATCCCAGCACCCACATGGCAGCTAACAACTGTTTGTAATTCCAGTTCCAGGGGATCCAACAGCCTCTTCTGTATTCTTCGGGCACTGCATGACATGGGTGCACTTACCTACATGCAGGCAATACATGCATACACATAAAATAAAAATAATTTTAAAAATTGGGGGGGGGTTCTTTTTGAGACAGGGTCTCCCTGTAGCTCCAGCTGTCCTGGAACTCACTATGTAGACCAGGCTGGCCTTGAACTCGCAGAGATCCACCTGCCTCTGCCTCCCGAGTGCTGGGATTAAAGGCATGGGCCACCACACCCGGCATAAAAAATTATGTAGGTGCTATAGGAACCAAACCCAGGTCCTCTGCAAGAGCAGCCAGTGTTCTTAACTGATAAGCCATCTCTCCAGCCCCCCTAGTTTTAAGTGCTCTGGTTGAAAGCACTACCAAAGCCTGGTTGAAGGAGGTGACCCCTGCCATCCCCTAGCCTACCTTAGGGAGATTTTAAGATTTATTTTTATTATTTATTTATTATTTTTGTTTTGCCTTTTTTTGAGACAGGGTCTCACCATGTAACTATGACTGGCGTGGAAGTCACTATGTAAACCAGACTGTCCTTGAACTCAGAGAACAGCTTGCCTGTGCCTCCTGAGTGCGGGGATTAAAGGCATGCACCATCACACCAGCTAAGATTTATTCATTCATTCATTTGTATGTGTGTATGTATGTGTGAATGTATGCATGTATACGACATTCATGCAGGTGCCTATGGAGGCCAGAAGATCTCTAGGAACTGTAGTTACAGACTGTTGTACAGCAAGTGCTCTTAACGCCTGAGCCACCTCTTGTGTTCCCCCAAGGGATTTTTTTGTTTTTGTTCTTTGGTCTTATTGAGAAGGGTCTCCCTGTAGCCCCAGCTGACCTGGAACTCACAATGTAGACCAGGCTGGCCTCAAGCAAACAGAGATTGGTCTGCCTCTGCTCCCAGTACTGGGACAAAAGGCATGTGCCACCACACCTGGCAAGGGATAGTTTTAAAGAGAATGATTCAAACTTTCTCAACACATCTTGAATTGGACCTAAGCTCCAATAAGTAGATATCTGGACCAGGTCACCTGGAGGGCAATTTCCAGTCCTTATTGAGAGGATCGTACCTTCCAATGTATTCTGGGGCCTTGAATGTCCTGGAAGCACTTCTGGCATGGGCTCTAATGCTCCTCAAAGTTAGGTGTTTCCCTGACCCTGCTACAGGTTCTACTATGATGCCAGGAACACTGCTGCTTTCTTTACTGCTAGATTAAGTCTGTCTTGCCCGTGGCACCCTTCACCCTGAAGAACCTTGAGTATGTTCTCCACAGTGCTCAGGCACATCTTTTAAGAGCCCACATTCCAGAGAGGTATGGCTAACCATCTAACAAACTCACACACATGTTGACAGGATGAATGTACTAGAGAATTGCCAGAAAAGCTTTTGGTTCATAGATAAGAAAGCCCTGTGGACTGCTGCTGCTACCTTAACACAAGGAGCCACTGTTAGGGCCAGACATGGACATGCACTGCAGCCACAGCCACTCTTTAAGATATGGGAAGCAGCAGGCCTATCAGGGCACCTCACCGACATGGTAATGAACAGATTGGAAGAATACCTGTGCTGCCCTGCTGGTCACTAGTAACACTGCAACCCAGCCTGGCCTGCTGGAGGAACGGCTTCAAGACAGAACTGACTCTGTAGCCCAAACTACTCTGAACAGGGCTGTTTACACCGATTCTGCCTCTGTCTCTTAGTCTATCCTGACAGAAGGAGCAACTCCTAAGCCAGGCATGGTGGTACATCCCAGTACTTGGCGGGTAGAGCAGGAGTTCAAAGTCAGCTCTACTTCATAGTCAATTTGAGGCCAGCCTAGGCTATGTGAGCTCCTATCTCAAACACCCCCATTCCAAACAAGTAAAAGAGTAGTTAACTTAGGGCTGGAGGGATGGGTCAGCGGTTAAGAGTACTGGCTGCTCTTGTAAAGGACCTGGTTCAGTTCCCAACACCCGCATGGGGGCTAACAATGCTCTATACTCCAGTTTCAGGGGATCTAACACCCTTTTCTGGCCTTCAGCATTGCACGAAGCAGGTGCACTTACATACATGTAGGCAAAACCCTCATACACATAGAAAATTAAATAAGTACTTTTTTTTTTTTTTTGGTCTTTCTAAGACAGGGTCTTCCTGTAGCCCCAGCTGGTCTGGAACTATGTAGACCAGGCTGGCCTGGAACTATGTAGACCAGGCTGGCCTGGAACTCACAGAGATCCACCTGCCTCTGAATCCTGGGATTAAAGGTGTGTTCCACTACACCCAGTGCAATAAATAACATTTTTAATACACATACACACAAAAGAGTAGCAGCTCCTTTGTAGAAGATAGAACAGTGGCGAAGCTGGATTCACAAGAAGATGAATATGAATAGATCAGAGGCTTCCCCACTTCAAATCCTCACCCAGTCAAACCATGGGCACTTGCAGTTTGGAACCAGTTTGAAGCAGTCTTAGAAGGACCTCATCAGACCTGCGGAGTGGGCTTAAACATCTCCATCTCCAGAGTGGCACAGGTTCGCACCAGGCACCGACCCCTGCTGTTTGTCAAGAGACCAGCCTGTTAGTGCCAAAGCAAGTCAGATTGATCCACCCCTTCTACTCCCTCAGACTCTCGCCTCATCAATTATTGTGTTTATGGGACTGTGTAGAGAACACTGATGGGCTCATTTGTCCGAGGGCCAGCCCAGACCTTTCCAGCAGGCCTCCAGCACTCCCCGTCTTTGAAGGGCTGGGAACAGCTATGCTATGGTGGTCCCTAAGCCAATGTGACTCAAGCCATACTAACCAACATGCTTCAGTTTAACCTTCATGTGCTAAAGAATTTGCAGTGGGAAGTCTAGCAGGCTGAACACAGGGAGATGGTCCTCACCCAGCCTGCTGACAATGAGGCAGGAACCTGGGCTGTCCTCCAATTGGATGGTCCCTAACAACCATACCTAGACCTCCAAAAGGACTCAAAAAAGTGAAGCTGGGGTTGGAGAGATGGCTCAGCAGTTAAGAGCATTGGCTGCTCTGGCAGAGGTCCCAGGATTGGTTCCCAGTACTCCCATGGCAGCTAACAACTTTCGTAACTCTAGTTCCAGGAGATCCAACACTCTTTTAGACTCCATGTTCACTGCATGCACGGATGTACTTATATACATGCAGATAAAACACTCATATACATAAAATAAGTATAAATTTTAAAAATGTAAAGCCATCCATCCTTATAGTCCCACTTCTGGCCTCCAGTCCAATTCAGCACTTCCCAAGAAAGTACTGAGTATCTGTAGCCAAATCCACCTGCTTCCCCAACATGCTCAGACCCCTAGATCCTAAGTTTATCTGCCTATGACTTACTGGCTAGGAAGCATTCTGGGCATGAGAAAAAGAAAAATGATAGCCACGCCATTGAGTTTCCACAATTTTGCTTGCTCTGGCTGAAGGCCAGAACTCTTAGCTTACTATATATACTTGGGGCCAGACCAGAAATACTGTGGGCCTTAAGTGGCTGACACATGGGGCGGGTCCCAAATAGAGTTGGTTAGTCTCCCAGAGGCTTCTACCTGTATCTGGACTGACATGGAGTACAGGGGCCTGTGAGGAAATGTTAAGAGGTTGGGTGGCTTTGCCTCTACACTTCAGATTAGAAAACAGCTTCAATATCTGTGGTTCCAGCCTATTCTCTCCACAAGTCTCTGGACAGATGGGTGAGGGACTAGGCCTTGAACTGAGGCTATGGTAGGAAGGTTTGATAACCTACATTCTGAGTCTGATCATCCAGATGGCTGCCTTTCTCCCTAGTACACAGTCCCCAAAGTGATCCTGTTCCCTTGCAGTTATTTACTCTTTTTAAAAATATATTTTATTATTTTTGTGTATATTGTTTGCATGCATGTAAGTGCACCCATGTCATGCAATGCCCGCGGAGGTCAGAAGAGGGTGCTGGATCCCCTGGAACTGGAGTTACAGACAGTTGTTAGCTGCCATGTGGGTGCTAGGAATTGAACCTGGGTCTTCTACAAGGTCAGTCAGTGCTCTTAACCACTGAGCCATTTCTCCAGCCCTCTAAGGTACCTATTCTTGAGGTAATCACAAAGGAAATAGTTGCAGTGAGGCGCAACCACTCCCTGTGTATTCCTGCACCAATTTTCCCTCATCACCCACTTCTGCTGGGCCAAAGTCACTCCACAGTGGACTCCAACTCTCTCTTAGATGGAGAGTCACCAAAATAGGATGGCATTCTGCTCCAGCTCAGGGTACCTACCTCTCTCTTCCCTGCCCCTTTCACTTGGGTGGAAGGTACAGCAAGAACATTTCCCAAGCCTACTATATGGTCTTAATTTGAACCTGAGAACTAACTGAATAAGGATACAGCTAGCTGTTCAGTTAAGCTGCAGGGGGAAGAGGAAGCTGCTTCTTCCTGGCAGAAAACCTTGCTTGCCTGCTGCCCTAGACATCTTCTGGCAGCAGGCTGACCACTGTCAAGTGAAAATGCAAGAGATCAAATGGCCCAGGTCTCCTCTGGATGGCATTAGGGTGAGAGACTCAAGTGTCAGACTGTAAGTCCAAAGGCCAATTCTATTTCTTTGTATGACCTTTGAGAAATCACAGCCTTCTTTTA